TGGATCTTTTGGTGGAGTTTTAAGATTAATCTTCTTACTGAAACTCTTTCCACCCTGTATGAAGTTTCCTCTTTCTGCTCAAACTGGAATCCCCCCCCACCAGATTTTTTAGAGATATGTAGTGCGATAAACCTATTGGCTGGGAGGCTGGAGTTCCCTGCAGAGGGTCTTGCATGGGATGGAAGGTCCTCCTCTCCTGCCACTGTCACGTCAGAGAGGAGGGCAATGTAAAACTTTGAGTGCCAAAGACACATGGGGATGGTTCCGCTACTCCTGCAGGTAGGGATGTACATGCGTGCACACGCTCTTGCCTGCCACTTCTGCGTCCAGTTCGAAAGGGTTCATGAACTAGTAGTGGCTGCGGTCTGCGGGTTGGGGACCCATGATTTGGAGTATTTATCAAAGTCTCTGGCCTGCCCTTGAGAAAGTTCAGGCGGTGAGATCCACTCTGTCAAGTCAGATGTAGGATCAGCCATTTTCTGCAGTGCTGAAAACTGTGCAATCCGATTCTTATTCCATCTGGCTCTGGCCACTGACGTTGAAGTGAAACGAGAATGACATGCAGGAACTGCTGACCGATAATGACAACTATGCTGGCAAGGAACCAATGCATGGGCAGGTCTGAGAAGTCAAAACCCTAGCTCTCACGCCTCAGCAAGGAGTCCAAACGATGGACATGTGCTTCCTAGAGGGGCCTGGCAAGAACAAAAGACCTTCCGTTTCTACAAAAGTAGAGCTGCTGCTGAAAGATGCCCGGCTGGAACGGTGATACATTTAAAACACGGGGGAAAGAGCAATATTCTCGGTGCTGCCTTTCTAAATTGAGTCCCTGACCGTCCTCTGCCGTGCAGGAAAATCAGGAAGGCTGAGCCCAAAGATAGGGATTTTTCTTTGTCTCCGAGTACAGCTCTGGATGGGTCCTAAATATCAGAAGGCATCTTGTAGCACCTTTTCCAACTGTTTCCTTAAAAGCCAAGAGCTTTGTGAGCGCAGCTCCCTTCCACCTGTTTTTCTCCTCTTAAAAAATATCTTCCCAAGAGATTACTGGCCAGATGGCAAGAGTAGAAGTGAGGCTAGATGACTGAGGATCTCAGCTTAAGGCAGCTACCACCAATCCCTTTGTTTCTATTTAAATGTTCATCTTTGGATGTCATGAAAAAAAAGGTGAATGACAGATTACCTTGAAGAAAATCTTGCTTATATGGTCACTAAGAGTCAACACTGATTTGATGGCCCATAATCAATTTAAATACCGGTTTATCAAGAACGTGTGACTAAATCTCAGGAAGAATCTAAAGAAAAAAAATCCTCCAGTGCCATATGATAACTTAGACTTCTTAGAGTACCAATTTGTGTATGTTTTGTGCAAGAATTATCCTTTTCTTTAACTTTTGAATTTACAATTTAAAAAGATCTACCATTTAACATCCAAAGGACTTTGAAAACCATTGTTTTCAGTTTAGATCTGATAAAAGACCGCCAGGAGATTCCCAGTAAGGGGCCCTGAAGCCCCACGGTGCAGCTCCTAAGATCCACCATGCAGCTTTTCCACCCGCTCTTCCTTGTGCCAGCATGGACTTAACAGGGCCGGCAAGGGCAGGAGGCTGTTTTAAGTACAGACACCCACTGGCCATCAGTGCCAGGAGGAAGGCATGTAGCATCCAGGGCAAGGTGCAACAGAAGAAGAGGATCTTCTGCCCAACTCATCTTGACTGGCCTGGAGCAACTTTGTGGGTCTGAATCCTGATGCCTGCAGCTATTTTGCGGTGAGGAGTTTCAGTGTCTCCCCTTTGCTGCCTGAGTCATTCTGGCCAAGACTTTCCTATTCTTTGTAGCTCTCCTAGGGCTCCTTTGCTCCCCTTCCGGACCTCACATTTTTTCCTGTCCCCATCTGAAAAACGACAAATCTCCATTAGTCAATTGCAAAAGATAGCTTTACTCAGAACAGATTACAACCTGTGATAAAACATCATCAAATGGACATTCTCAGTTATCCATTCATGGTTTTCCCAAAGGTAGTTTTTCAAAAGGGCAACTGGACTATGTATTTTTCCTTAAGGAAGGCATTTTGCTTCTCATCCAAGAAGCTTCCTCCATCAAATATCCATGACTTCTACCTATCCCAGGTCCTTGGGAAGGGCTTGATTGGTAGATAAAAATGCCAAATTAACTAATCTCAATAAATGACTCTGAGTGGCTTACAATTAAAATAATGTACAATTAAAACAATAAGAGCATTTTGAAAATAATAAAAAAAACAATCCAAAATAAACATACAGTAGCGACGATACTTAGTCCGGTAACTATAAATCCAGGAAAAGGGGGCATTGACTGCCCCTTGCTCAGAAAGGTCACAATCATGAAGGGCTTTAAAGATGACAACTAACACCTTGAAATGTGTTTGGAAAATATTGATAACAAGGGCAGCTCATGGAGTAGTGGTGTCATGTGTGTCTTATATCCAGAACCAGTTGCCACCCATGCTACTGAATTCTGCACTAGTTTTCTCTCCTTCAGCACAAGAGCAGGGCAGTTCCTAACAGCAGAAAACTGAACTGCCCATTTGTTTTCTACCCTAATCAGAACATGGTGGCCAGCCTGAGCAAAGCAGAATTTGGAGAATTCAGATAATTCCTGCTCTGGGCTGTGGACAGGTCACCTGCTGCAGTTTGGTGATTTTCACTTCTGCAGAAAAGAAGCCATGCAATGCGATAAGCCCATAAGTTGGAATACGGGAGTTCCTGCACAGGAACCAAGCAGGCTGGAGGTTTCTGTGCTTCTGGATTAGTTTTATATCTCTGTAGCTCTCTTTCTGAGTGTATCTTTGGGAAGGGCTATTGTTGGGTACAGAAGTCACCTTGCATACTGAGATCTGCATTCCAGCTCTGGGAATCCTGAACGGAAGAACCATTTGTCAGTTCTTTGAGCTAGTCCAAACAAAATGCCCACAAATGAATACTAGCTCTATCTCTACTGAGGCCATAATACAAAATCCAGCAGCTCTGAAAGCATTTGCCCTCTCCCTTCCTTTTACTATCTGGAAAACTAGGGAGAGTTTCTTCGGTCACTCTTAAAATGCACCCCACTCTCCCAGTCTTCTTGTGGGGACTAAGGATATATTTTACATGATGGTTGTCGAGTCTGCAATATATTTTACATGATGGTTGTCGAGTCTGCAAGTCTTCCCCATCTCCCAAAGCCATTTCCACATACCGTTACCCCATCCCTATCCGTGTTCCATAGAAGTTGTTTCTCATTGATTCTTTGTAAAAAGGAGAAACACAGTGTGATGACCCAGGGCACAGCACAGAGGCAACGCAGTCAGCTGGCAATTCAGCTGGCGGATGTTGAAGGAGCTGGCATGGACACTAATGGCAGGACACCCTCTCACTTCAGCAGCTTCCCTCCCCGAGGCTCCAGCACTCCACCTGCTCCTTTGGTCCTGGGCTGCTGCCTCCCCACTCACCTCTCAGCCAGGCCCGGCCAGGCTAGGAAGGCAGCCTTCCTCGATCCCCAGGGCAAAAGCCCACTACAGCTGGAGGAGTGTCAGCCTGGCCTCCACCACCTCAGCGCCCTTCCCGTCGCCACGCAACATGAACCCCCAGGAGCTGGCCTAGCACGGGAAGGGAACACACCCTGCCCACCTGGATGCTTGGTCTGTCACCACGCTCCCGCTGCTGTCTTGTGTCTCCACCCCATACAAAGGCCCTGTTCCTGTGCGCTCGTGGCCTACTGGTTCTGGCAAAAGTAAACCCTACCCGAAATTAAGTCCTAGTGCTTATTTCAGAGACCAAAAGAAAGTAAGACCGGGTCTTACTTTTGGGGAAACACGGTATTGGGCTCAAGAAGACATCAGTAAGGTCACTGATCCAACCTCAGCAATTTCCAAATTCCAGTGCTTGTCCTTTTTCTTCTGTGTAGCTACATGGATGGTAAATAAGGTTCCATACAAACCAGACTGTTGCACATTCCATGAATTATTAAGTCTCTGCCATGTCTGGATCCTGGGATGACAATTAAGTCGATTGCTGAGAATAAAGCTCAATCCATGGATTTCATTTATTTTTCCTGTGTGGATCATTTTAGAATTAGGTACACTCAGTGATGGTGGTTCCACTTCTTAAGTATTCACAATTTTATCCTGTGTGGATGCCACCGTGAAAACCAAAGGTGCTGCAATGATTAAAGCTATATTTGCACTTGGTGCTCAGCACTTTAGAAACAAAATCTTGCAGAGGCCGGGCACTTTAGAAAAAAAATCTGACAGACTCCCATGGTTCATGATGATTAAGTTTTTCTTTTTGGACAAAGCACTTTCCACATTCCACAAATTTATATGTTCTCACTCTAGTGTGCATCTTTCACGAAGATTAAGATATCCATTTCGGGTAAAGGTCTTTCCACATTTCATGCATTCCTTTGATTGCTCCCCAGTGTGAACCTTTTGGTAGCAATTTATTGTTGCTAATAAAGTTCTTTCAAGATTCCGTGCATTTATATCAGGGGTGTCAAACTCAATTTCATTCAGGGCCGCAGTAGTATTGTGGTTGCCCTCAGGGGGCCAGGTGGTGTGACCAGGGTGGGTGCAGCCTACTGGGTAGGTGTGGATGGAGCGGGTGTGGCCTACTGGGTATGTGTGGCCAGCTCTACAATGTTTCCATCAAGGGTGCCTGTGGGGGCCTGGGTAGAAGTGGGACAGGTCTGAGGGTCTCTGGAAGAAGGGAGTGGGACCAGGGCAAGTGCGAAGGCATGGTCCACTGGAGGAGCCTGATTGTTCGTCTCAGGCCATGCGGGGGGCTTATGGAGCTAAGACTGAATGCATTTCAGCATAGATGGCCACCACAAAATTGTACATTGGCTCCCGGCTGGCCTGGGCCGGGGCCAAGGCAGCGGGGGCCGTTCCCTCACTGTTTCCAGGATGGCTTTGTGGGCCACATGAAACCACGCTGCGGGCCGCATCCGGCCCCCGGGCCTTTGTTTGACATGTCTGATTTATGCAGTATGGATCCTTTGATGAAGAAAAAGATTTCCTTTTCGGGTAAAGGTCTTATCACATTCCGTGCATTTATATGGTCTCTCTCCGGTGTGCATCCTTTTATGAAGATTAAGATGTCCTTTTCGGGTAAAGCTCTTTCCACATTCCGTGCATTTATATGGTCTCTCCCCAGAGTGCATCCTTTCGTGACGATTAAGATTTCCGTTCTTGGTAAAGGTCATTCCACATTTCGTGCATTTATACGGTCTCTCCCCAGTATGGATCCTTTGATGAAGATTAAGATGTCCTTTCTGGATAAAGGTCTTTCCACATTCCATGCATTTATAAGGTCTCTCCCCTGTGTGGTTCTTTTGGTGGAGATTAAGATGTTCTTTCCATATAAAGGTAATTCCACATTCTATGCATTTATATGGTCTCTCCCCAGTGTGGATCCTTTCGTGACGATTAAGTGTTTTTTTACGGGTAAATGTTTTTGCACATTCCATGCATTTATATGGTCTCTCCCCAGTATGGATCCTTTCATGATCATTAAGTTTTTCTTTCTGGGTATAGGCCTTTCCACATTCCATGCATTTATACGGTCGCTCCCCCGTGTGGATCCTTTGATGGCAAATAAGATTACTGTTATTAATGAAACGCTTTCTACATTGGGTGCATTTATATGGCCTATCCCCAGTGTGGATCCTTTCATGTAGTTTAAGACTTTCTTTCCAGGTAAAGGTCTTTCCACATTCCATACATTTATAGGGTCTCTCCCCGGTGTGGATTTTTTGGTGGACATTAAGATTACTTTTCCTGCTGAAACTCTTTCCACACTGCATACAGAGGCTCCTCTTTCTGCTCAGACTGGAATCCACCAAAGATTTTATAGAGGTATGAGGTTTGCATTTCCAGTACAGTTTCTCTGGTGAAGCAGAAGCGAAGGAGTTGTTCTCCGTAGTATCTACAGGCATGCAGTTTTTCTTTGGTCTGGTTTCCGCCATAGTTATGTATTTCAAATTCATGTTTTCTTTTTTTCTACATTTTCCTTTTCTCATTTCTTTCTGATCTTGCTTGGATAGAAAGTCACAAATACCAAGAGAAGTGGATGACTTCTCCTCTCCATCTTCTGGCTGTTTTCTCTTTAGCCTTTTGGTGTCTCTCTGATGCCCAAGGGTTAGTACTTTTAATTCATTCTTCTCTATTTGAAGTAGGTTTAACGTTGCCTGTTTGCCATTCTCATTCACAGGAACATCATCTACATGGAAAAAAAGAAAATCAGTATTTTGATTAGAATTTAGAAGGTGAGGTGTCTCCCCCCCAACCATGCCAATCTGCATTCCTGGTTTGGTAGAATCCACTTGTCCAGCCAGGATGTGATATCTGCAAATTGTTATCCAAGACTCTCTTGATTGTATAGAAAGAATGTTTTGAGCTAAAAAACAGGTTAAAGCTTTTGGGTTGATCAGTCAATCTATTCAATCACTTCCATGGAGTATCTAGGACATTTCTTAACTCTATTGTGAATACTTCTTCCAGGGCCTTTTAGAGAGATGAACATCCTGGTCTTACCCAGAGCAGCCATATTCCTTGAAACCTCCTGCATGACTTCTCTGCACAAGGCCTTCTGGCCAGAATCTAGCAGCTTCCATTCCTCATCCGTGAAGTCCACATTTACCCCCATAAAGAAATCAGAGATCTAGAAAGAGAAAAAAAGCAGACAACCCCAGGAAACAGTTGAAAGTTCTCTCTCTTAGTGCACACAACAGAAAACACATATGTGCAAGAGACCAAATGGACATTTTCTTTCAGGACAGATTCATGTCATCTTGTCCACATAGTCCATGGGGCTAGGAAGCTGCAGCTGCACAAATCACGGCTTCCAGGTTGTAGAATGCAACACAGCCAACCATGGGGAGCTTCCCACTGGCCTGGGGTAACTCAGTAAGTAGGTTTATGGCAGAAAATCCACTAGACTTACCTGCCTCGTTGACCAAATTCCTGAGAAAACAGGACAGAGCCACTAGGAATTTCTTTCCTAACTTATTTAAAACTATTGCTAATGTCCTTGAAATCCCAAGTCACTTGAACGACAGTTTTATTGTCACAACCACTTAGTGTTGACTTATTGGCTTATCCTTAATGTGCTATATTTTTCTTTGTATACTTACAAGGAAGACGGGTGGCATAAATATTTAATAAAATAAACACTTCTCAAGTGTGTTTAATCTGTTATTGTTACAATTCCTAATTTCATTTCTAACTGTTTTAAGTACTCTTCTTAATAGTATTAAGAAATATTAAACTATTTCTACAATTAAATTACATTTCTAACACAAAGTTCCATGCCTGTGAATTGTCTCTTGTTTGCATCTCCAGAACAATCCTGAAAGCCAAATGTGGGTGGACACTGTGTTCAAGTGCACACAGACTCAGCTTTCAGTATTAAACACAGCTCCTGAATGGATGGAGCTGCAACGCTACTGTTCTCAGAAGAAACCTGTATTTACCTGGCAAGGTGGCCAGACTTGGGTCCTCCTGAAAAACAGCTCCTGAATAGAGCTGGATCGATCTCCTCTGCCCCGGAGCTCTGCTGAAATCTCCTCTGTGAACGGCTCCTGCATCAGAAGAACAGCCTGATTTATAATCCATTTTCAGAGGATAGTTTTCATTCCTTACATTTTGCTTTCCTACTTGTATTTCCCCAACCCAATTCAGAGACACTTCAGGGAATGCATGTGACTTAAAACAGCAGGCTGTGTTTTTATGTACATAAACTGTAAGGGTATGTTAATTAGTTTGTTTCTCTAACTATTTTGGCATTATAGGGCTTCTTAAATGTGGCTCTGTATCAGAAGCCATTCACATAAACCAGTTGCTTCCCCTTATCTAGATTCAGGCAACAGCAGATCATAAAGTAAACGCTGATTATTATGAGAAATGTGGATAACATCACAAAGGATACAGAGGTGTAAAGGGATAAATTAATTTAGGAAACAGAAGCATTTGTTTCAAGAAGAAATCAATTCTTCAAAAGTGAGGAATTCCAGAAAGGGCTGCAGAGTCATATTTTTAATCTCTTTTATTAGAGACATGGCTAGATCTCCGATCCTTGCCCCACCCGCCCCCCCAGGACGAAGCCCCCGCGCCCTCCTCACCTGCCCCTTTCCCGGCTCTTCCCGCTGGGCTTGGCTGAGGAGGAAGCCTTCGGCCAGGGCCACCGCCTGCGAACAGCTCTCGGCTCCGCACTCCCTCACCCAGCTCGCCATCTCCGCGGGCAGCAGGGCCAGCAGCTGCTCCAGCACCACCAGGTCCAGCATCTCCCCTTTGCTGCTCCTCTCCGGCCGCAGCCACTGGCGGCACAAGCGGTGCAGGCGGCTGCAAAGCTCCCGGGGCCCCTCGGCCTCCTGGCGGCAGCCGTCGAGATCGAGGAAGCGCCGGCGGTGGATCTCTGGGCTGAGGGCGGTCTCCATCCCTGGAGATCCCTGGGCTTCCGTCGGGTCTCCTGCTCGAGGGCAGCCAAAAGAAGCCCGAGAGAGTCCCAAATTTCCCCAGCCCCTCCGCAACCCCTTCTCCGGTTTGCAGGAGGGCAGAAATGGGTCTCTGCTCACTCGGCCTTTACCCGCCTGAGGAGAGCAACGGCAAATCCTTCCCGTCAATTTCCAGAGCGCTCCTTGGCTCGCGTACCTCAAGAAGGAGCCAGAATGATAGATATGTGCTTCCTAGAGTGGATCTAATAGGAAGAGAATGAAAGGGGACCTTCCAGAATGTCTGCTCCGCTGCTCTTCTTTGGAGGGGGGGCAAATCTTTCCCGCAATTTCCTGAGCGCTCCTGACCTCAAGTGACAGAACAAGAAACCAGAAAGATAGATATGTGTTTCCTAGAGTGGCCCTGGTAGGAATTGGATGAAAAGGGAGCTTCCTTTTCCGGCCTGCCGGAATGTCTACGTCACTGCTCTTCTTAGGAGTGGGGCGGGATTCGCTGAAAGGTGGGCGGTGGAAGCGGAGGCTGGGACGGCGATGCTTGCAAAGGGCAGGGAAGGACCGATGATCTCGGCGTCCCCCCTCTTCATCGGCCGCTTTCACCTTCCAGCGCAGAACGGACGGATCGGGAGCTGAACGTCGGAAGGCGCCTGGTAGTCCCTTTTCCAGCCGACACCTTTCCTGGCACGAGTCAGATGCAGAGACTGACGCGGGATGGAAATCGGGGAGGGCGACGGGAGGGGAAGACAGGTGGGATCCGGGGCTGCGAACGAGGGGAAGCATCGCCCTTGCCTCGCCCTGGAGGTCGGCAGGATGGCTGGAGCAGAGAGCTTCTTTCCCTCCACGCTCCCTTCCTGGAGACGGGACTTGCTCTCGAGGCGTAAAGCGTTTCTCCCGGCGCTTCGTTTGCCGGGTTGCTAGAGCAGAAGGGAGCGTAGAGGACTGAGGGTTTCGGTTTAACGGAGCTGGCGCCGATCCCTTCGTTTTTCATGTCTCTGTTTAAATACTAATCCTCTGGATTTCGTGAAAGAAGAGATTATCTTGGAGAAAATCTTACCTATGTGATTAATCAATACTCATTTGATGGCCCGTAATCAATAGATCAAGAATTTGTGTGACTAAAAATCAGGAACAAGCTAAAAGAAATTCTTAATTCCATATAACAACTAAATAGACTTCTCCGAATGGCAATTTGCATATGTTTTACACAAGAATTATACTTTTCTCCTTTAGGTGTTGAATTTATAACATAAAAATATCTACCATTTATTATTTACCATCCAAAGCTCTTTGAAAATCAGACCATTGTTTTCAGTTTAGGTCCTCTGCTAAAAGACAAGGAGTGAACTCAGAATAAAGAGTAGCAAAGTTGGTTCTTAAACATCTCCACCCCCAAATTTAAGCATTTGTTATAGGAGGCTTTTCCCTTTCTGCTCAATTATTACTGGTAGTTTGTAAATGGGGAAGAAGAACCGCTTACTTCCACTCCTAACTCAACTCTGGGGGTTCCAGTGGGCTTTGGCTGAGGAGTTGCTGGGAAGAGGGAAGAGAGAGAGAGAGAGAGAGAGAGAGGTAGGTAGATAGATAGATAGATAGATAGATAGATAGATAGATAGATAGATAGATAGATAGATAGATCAGGGCTTTTCAACCTTTTCACCCATTGTACCACCAGTCACCCAGCAAGGTGTCAAAAACTTGACCCCCCCCAAAAGGAAAACAACAAACTTACAATTCACTTAGTGACTGTCCGTAGTTACAATGGTATTGAAAAAAGTGATTTATGACCATTTTTCACACTTATAAATGTTGCATCACCAGGGTGATGTGATTTACATTTGGATGCTTCGCAACTGATTCATACTTATGAGGTTCAGTGTCCCAGAGTCATGTGATCAGCTTTTGCAACTTTTTGACAAGCGAAATCATGGCTGGAGGGGCGTGGCCAGCTCATCACTCAGGTTGCGGGGTGCCTGTGGGGAGGGGAATCCATGGGTCTCTGGTGGAGGGGGATGGGACTGGGGTGGGTGCCTTCCCTCCCTCTCTCCCATTGTTCCTTTCTTCCTTCCCTCCATCCCATTGTCCTTCCCTCCCTCTCTCCATTACTCAGTTTTAATTTCTTCGATGGTGGTTCCTTTTGCTGAATCACTTTCCTTTTGCATTGTAATAATTAAGATGAGCAGTGTTAAGTCCAATATAAAGGAATGACTAAATCTCTTGATACAGGAACAGTTGCAAAAACTGCATGCCAAGAAATCTCAGCCTTTGTATAGCAACTACAACCTCCCATAAAAGACACCCCAAAAGCTGTTACTATTGTGAGTGGGCAGAAGGGAAACCAAACTTTTCAATAGGCATGTTACTGTTTATACTCTGAAGGGCAAATATGCTGCTAAGTGAAGCCCCAGGATCAGCGGGCTACGTGTCTGTGTATGTCTGTGAGAAAGGGAGAGGGGGAATGTATATGAATATGCATATGTATTTGTGCATATATTCATATTTTATAGTACTATTCCAAGTTCATATTATCCAGATTGCATATTTAAATTCCACCTTATTGTATATCTGTAGTGTAAATAAGCCTTTTAACATATTCTGATTTGATATTGTTTTTTAGCCAAAATGTTTGTCTGAAAGTACTTTTTTAACTATCCTGAATTTGTCACTTTAGTTTTGGATATTATGAGTATTTGAATGCCAATTCTTTTGTTCTGGTTAATGACTGCAATAAAGTTAAGATAATGATAATGCAACCCAGAAGGGTGCAGTAAAGTTGAGAAATATTGAAAAGAATAACACTTTGATTCAACTGATAAAGGATAGTATTTATAGCTCAGGGCTGACATGAGAGATCCTTGTTGCTCTCTGAGCTTGGTTGTTTTCTTGCAGATGATTCATTACCCAAATTAGGTAACATCAGCAGTGCTAATAGGGAATGGGGTTTGCTGTTAATTTATATTCTAGTAGTGGGTTGCCCTGTCAGTATAGGGAGGAGTAATGTTAAGAGGTTTTTTTGTTTCTTTGCAACAAAGCTCAGAGAGCACTGAGGACCCTTCGCTTTGATTCAAATTGGCAGAAATTTGATATGAAAAGGTAATTAAAATTTGGGGGCCAAGGATCTCAACATTTAACATATTACAACTGACAGGAAGAAATAAGAAACTCTGGAGAAATCAAATAGATCGAGATTAAGAGAGATTATAACTGCTTGAAAACCGTAGCTAATCGAGGAAATTACAATTAAGCAGATTCAAAAGAAGGGAGTAGATTGTCCCAAGCAGCAGAGAAACAAAATTCAGAAGACACAGAAAGGCGTCAAAAGCTGATAGATAGAAAGCAAGCGGAAGGCAAGCGAGCTGGGCAGGAGTGCGAATTGGTGTGTGCTCAGAAACGCCAGACAGCTGCACGATGGCAGCTGCTGCGGTTTTTGCCCGCTTTTTCAGTCAGGCCCCAGAAACCAATCCTTCCTTGCAGGCTTCTTCATTGACTTTCGGTAAAGTCTGCAGAGAAGTTGCAAATATTAATCACATGATTATAGGGCACTTGGCAACAGGCGGGAAAGTACTGGAGTCACCATAAGTATATTCAGACTGTGATATGATAATGCCTTCTACTGTAAAATGTGGCTTTCTGACATTTGTACTCGGTGTAACCAAAAATCTTGAGGGGTTTTGTTCAGTTTCTAACTTTAACCTCCTTTTGAAATATACAAACTAAACTCTTATCTGGTCCACCTACACACATTCATCTTTTATTTAATAACTTTTGTCTATTCTTTGCACTAATTTGCAGCCTTGTAATGTAAGTACAGTTGCTTCCTTCTTTTTGCCTAAAATATTTGCCTAGGAGGGGAAAAAAAACTTTCTAATACCTGGTTTGCTTAACATGTTCTCTCCAGGAAAAAGAGCATTCATTTCTGGTTATTAAGTACTTAGGTTATGATAGAACATTCCTAAAATGATCACAGAAATGGGATGCTCCAATTGAGATAGGGGCAGGTTTGCGACTGCGTTTTTCTTTGTGTGCTTCTTTGAGCAGGTATATTTGTACTTCTGTCTCTCTCTTGCTATCTTTGGGAAGGGCTATTGTTGGGTACATAAGTCGTCTTGGATACAGGGTTGGGGTCTGTGTTCCTGGTCTGGGAATCCTGACTGGAAGGACATTTTGTCAGACCTTCAACGTAGTCCAGACAAGAGGCACGAGAATGAACACTAGCACTATCTCTACTGCGAGGCCACAATACAAAATCCTGAAACTCTGAAAGTATTTTTTCCATCCTCTCCTTTTACTCTTTGAACAATTAGGGAATTTGTTTTGCAATTCTTCCAATGCCCCATTCACCCTCACAATCTCCTTGTGGGGATTAGGTTATCTTTTCGATAATAGCTGTTCAGCCGAAGGCTCTTCCCACGTCTCCCAAAGTCATTCTCATTCTCCCATTACCCCCTCCCTATCCATGTTCTCCAGAAGTCTTTTCCACTGTTTATTTGTAAAGAAGAGAAACAAAGGCATGTAAGATTTTCTAATAAGGTTTGCTATATTTTCAATGAGAATGAATAGTTTGAATATCAGCTGAAAGGAATTATTAATTCCTGCATTAAGAGGAAAGAAAGGGAGAGATGAATGAATGAATTCTGACACTCCCTCAAAAGCTGGAGCTTCTTACATCCCTGAGAAGGCTGGGAGGTTGAAATAGGCTTGAATTTCCCATGAATTATCTCTGAGTGGAAACATTTGCCTAAAAAAGAAATAAATCATCCTATAACTAAGGTCACTGATCTGCCCTCAGCAATTTTGATATTCGATTGGTTATAGTTTTTCTTCCCTGTGACCACTTGGATTGGAGATAATATTCCAGTAGACTTCCAGTTCTGGATCGTAGCACTCGCAGCTGTTCAAGGAGACTGCTCTCCTCCCTAGCTGAATTTTCGCTGCCAGTAGACCTTTAATTGGGTCAAAAAGCCGCCTTGGAGGGGTGGTTACCGCTGAGGAGGTCCTCGTCGTCCATGAGAGAGCAGCAGCTTCTTCCACGGCCCGAGATTGCTCCTTTGGGCCAACGGTGGAAAGACCGGCCAGTAAAATGGCCATTCACCTTGCCACTGTAACCAGAAGTCAGAACATTTAAGCACAGGAACCACCGTGGCTGAGCCAGGTGAGACTTTTTTTTCTCCCTCTCTTGGTTTTCCTTTTTCTTTTGTGCCTGTAAAAAGCACTTTTGAAATTATTTCCCTGCTCTAAAAAAACGGCGTTTGTGAGTGTAGGAAAAAGAAGCTTAAATGGACTGAATTAATTTAAAGTGATATTTTTTCTTCTATTTTTATTTTTTTTTATTCACTTGGGGTCTTGAAAATTTTTTTAATATTGAATCTGCTATTGGACTTAAATTCTCCTTTTTTCTGTGTTTCCTAGTCTTGTTTATGAGATTCCTGGTCTCTGGGAGAAGATTTTACATTGTACTGAGGACACCTTGTGGAAAAATTTAAAATTGCAACTGTCTCTTTTTTCTGATGGTGAAACTGACTTTGACTTTCAGATTACCATAAAAGGAAAAATACAAAGAAAACTAACAGATAATATTCCAGTTGAAACCAGAGATATTTTCACTTTCCATGAATTAATACACTTCCTGCCATGTCTAGATCCTTGGATGAAGAATAAATTGACTGTTGAAAATAAAGCTCAATGCATGGATTCATTTGTTTTTTCCTGTAGATCAGCGCCCGGTCAGCCTGGGCCAGACGGAGGCACCATGGACCAGTCCTTCGTCATTTCCAGGGCAACTCCGGCAGCCGAATATAACCACATGGTGGGCCGGATTTTGTCCGTGGGCCTTGTATTTCACATGACTGTTGTACAGGAAATCCTCGATTTACAACAGTTCTAGTGACCTTTCAGTTACAACTGCACTGAAAAAAGTGGCTTATCACAATTTTCACACTTAACAACCATTGCAGCATCCTGATGATCATGTGATCAACATTCAGATCCTTGGCAAATGGTTTATATCCATGACTGTTGCTGTGTCCCAAGATCATGTGATCCCCTTTTGTGATGTTCTGACAAGCAAAGTCAATAGGGAAGCCAGATTCACTTAACAACCAGATTACTAACTTATCAACTGCAGTTATTCACTTAACTAAGCAAGAAAGGTCATAAAATGGAGCAAAACTTACTTAATGTCTCAATTAATGAGAAATTTTGGGCTCAATTGTGGTTGTAAATCAAGGACTACCTGTAATCATTAAAGGTGTTTTTTTTTCCACCACTCTATACATTTGTCGGGTGGTTTCCCTGTGGATACTTTGGTGACCAGTCTATGCACTTGTATGGTTGCTTCCCACTCTGAGTTCTTTGGTGGCAAATAAGATGACTGTTCCTAATATAACTTTTTCCACATTCCATGCATTTATATGGTCTGTCCCCAGTATGGATCCTTTCATGACGATTAATATCTCCTTTCTTGATAAAGGTCTTTCCACATTCCATGCATTTATATGGTCTCTCCCCAGTGTGGATCCTTTCGTGATCATTAAGATGTCCTTTCTGGGTAAAGGTTTTTCCACACGTCATGCATTTATGTGGTCTCTCTCTTTTGGTCCTGTTGCTAATGAAACTCTTTCCACATTCTGTACATTTATACGGTCTCTCCCCAGTATGGATCCTTTCATGACGATTCATCTCTCCTTTCTGGGTAAAGGTCTTTCCACAGTCCATGCATTTATACGGTCTCCCCCGAGTATGGATCCTTTGATGAACACTAAAATGTCCTTTCTCAAGAAAGCACTTTCCACATTCCATGCATTTATACGGTCTCTCCCCAGTGTGGATCCTTTTATGAACTTTAAGACTATTTTTCCAGGTAAAGAATTTTCCACATTCCATACATTTATATGGTCTCTCCCCAGTGTGGATCCTTTTGTGATTATTAAGATGTCCTTTCCGGGTAAAGGTCTTTCCACATTCCATACATTTATAAGGTTGCTCCCCAGTGTGGATCCTTTGGTGGCAAATAAGACTACTCTTGCTAATGAAACTCTTTGCACATTGGGTGCATTTATGAGGCCTGTCCCCAGTGTGGATCCTTTCATGAAGTTTAAGACTATTTTTCCAGGTAAAGATCTTTCCACATTCCATGCATTTATATGGTCTTTCCCCAGTGTGAATCCTTTTGTGATGATTAAGTTGTCTTTCCCGGATAAAGGTTTTTTCACATGCCATGCATTTATATGGTCTCTCCCCAGTGTGGATGCTTTCGTGATCATTAAGTTGTCCTTTCTGGGTAAAGGTCTTTCCACATTCCATGCATTTATAGGGTCTCTCCCCAGTGTGGATCCTTTTGTGACGACTAAGTATTGCTTTCTGGATAAAAGTCTTTCCACATTCCATGCATTTATAGGGTCGCTCCCCAGTGTGGATCCTTTGGTGGCAAATAAGATTACTCTTGCGAATGAAACTCTTTGCACATTGGGTACATTTATATGGCCTGTCTGCAGTGTGGATCCTTTCATGAAGTTGAAGACCTTCTTTCCAGGTAAAGATCTTTCCACATTCCATACATTTATATGGTGTCTCCCCAGTGTGGATCTTTTGGTGGCGATTAAGATTAGTTTTCCTACTGAAACTCTTTCCACACTGTATGCAGAGGCTCCTCTTTCTGCTCAGACTGGAATCCACCAAAGATTTTACAGAGGTATGTGGTTTGCATTTCCAATATAATTTCTTTGGTGAAGCAGGAGCGAAGGAGTTATTCTCCATAGTATCTACAGGCATGCAGTTTTTCTTTGGTCTGGTTTCCACCATAGTTATGTATTTCAAATTCATGTTTTCTTTTTTTCTATATTTTCCTTCTCCCATTTCTTTCTGATCTTGCTGGGATAGGAAGCCACAAACACCAAGAGAAGTGGATGACTTCTCCACTCCATCTTCTGGCTGTTTTCTCTTTAGCCTTTTGGTGTCTCTCTGATGCCCAAGCGTTAGTACTTTTAATTCATTCTTTTCTATTTGAAGTAGATTTAACCTTGTTTGCTTGCTGTTCTCATTCACTGAAACATCATCTGCATGGGAAAAAAAAGAAAATTAATATTCTGATTAGAATTTAGAAGGCTGAAGGAGAGGTGTCTCCCCCCCCCTCAAATATGCTAATCTGCGTTCCTGGTTTAGTAGAATCCACTTTCCAGCCAGGATGTAATATCTGCAAATTGTTATCGAGGAGTCTCTTGATTTTATAGAAAGAATGTTTTCAGCTAAAAAACAGGTTAAAGCTTTGGTGTTGATCAGTCAATCCATTCAATCACTTCCATGGAGTATCTAGGACATTTCTTAACTCTATGGTGAATACTTCTGCCAGGGCCTTTTAGAGAGATGAACATCTTGGCCTTACCCAGAGCAGCCATATTCCTAGAAAACTCCTGCATGACTTCTCTGCACAAGGCCTTCTGGCCAGAATCTAGCAGCTTCCATTCCTCATCCGTGAAGTCCATAGTCACCCCCATAAAGAAATCAGAGCTCTAGAAAGAGAAAAAAGCAGACAATCCCAGGAAACAGTTGAAAGTTCTCTCTCTTAATGCACATAACAGAAAACACACATGTGCAAGAGACCAAATGAACATTTTCTTTCATGTCATGGACATGACATGGACATATTGATGTCATCCTGTCTACATAGTCCATGGGGCTAGGAAGCTGCAGCTGCACAAATCACGACTTCCAGGTTGTAGACTGCAACACAGCCAACCATGGGGAGCTTCCCACTGGCCTGGGGTAACTCAGTAAGTAGGTTTATGGCAGAAAATCAACTAGACTTACCTGCCTCGCTGACCAAATTCCTGAGAAAACAGGACAGAGCCACTAGGAACTTCTTTTCTAACCTGTTTCAAAATATTGGTAATGTCCTTGAAATCCCAAGTCACTTGAACGACAGTTTTATTGTCACAGCCACTTAGTGTTGACTTAGTGGCTTATCCTTAATGTGCTATATTTTTCTTGGTATACTTACAAGGAAGACGGGTGGCATAAATATCTAATAAAATAAGCACAGGTATTTTTAATCTGTTATTGTTTCAATTCATAGATTTCATTTCTAACTGTTTTAAGTACTCTTCTTAATAGTATTAAGAAATATTAAACTCTTTCTATAATTAAATTACATTTCTAATACAAAGTTCTGTGCCTGTGAATTGTCTGTTTCCATCTCCAGAAAAATCTTGAAAGCCAAATGTGGGTGGACACTGTGTTCAAGTTCAGCTTTCGGTATTAAATGCAGCTCCTGAATGGATGGAGCTGCAACGCTACTGTTCTCAGAAGAAACCTGCACTTACCTGGCAAGGTGGCCAGAATTGGGTCCTCCTGAAAAACAGCTCCTGAGTAGAGCTGGATTGATCTCCTCTGCCCCGGAGCTCTGCTGAAATCTCCTCTGTGAACGGCTCCTGCATTTGAAGAACAGCCTGATTTATAATCCATTTTCAGAGGACAATATCTGTGATAGTTCACATTCTTTACATTTTGCTTTCCAACTTTTATTTCCTCAACCCAATTCAGAGACACTTCAGGGACTCTGCGAGTGACTTAAAACAGCAGGCTGTATTTTTATGTACATAAACTGAAAGGGTGTGTTTAATTAGTTTGTTTCTCTTACGATTTTGGCATTATAGAGCTTCTTAAATGGGGCTTTGTATCAGAGGTCATTCACATAAACCAGTAGCTTCCCCTTATCTAGATTCAGGTAACAACAGATCATAAAGTAAATGCTGATTATTATGAGAAATGTGGATAACATCACACAAAGGATACAGAGGTGTAAAGGGATAAATTAATTTAGGAAACAGAAGCATTTGCCTCAAGAAATCAATTCTTCAAAAGTGAGGAAATCCAGAAAGGGCTACAGTCATATTTTTAATCTCTTTTATTAGAGACATGGCTAGATCTCTGATACTTTCCCCCCCCCCCGCCCCCCATGGATCTCCCAAGATGACGCCCACCGCCCTCCTCACCTGCCCCTTTCCCGGCTCTTCCCGCTGGGCTTGGCTGAGGAGGAAGCCTTCGGCCAGGGCCACCGCCTGCGAACAGCTCTCGGCTCCGCACTCCCTCACCCAGCTCGCCATCTCCGCGGGCAGCAGGGCCAGCAGCTGCTCCAGCACCACCAGGTCCAGCATCTCCCCTTTGCTGCTCCTCTCCGGCCGCAGCCACTGGCGGCACAGGCGGTGCAGGCGGCTGCAAAGCTCCCGGGGCCCCTCGGCTTCCTGGCGGCAGCCGTCGAGACCGCGGAAGCGCCGGCGGTGGATCTCTGGGCTGAGGGCGGCCTCCATCCCTGGAGATCCCTGGGCCTCCGTCGGGTCTCCTGCTCGAGGGCAGCCAAAAGGAGCCCGAGAGAGTCCCAAATGTCCCCCAGCCCCTCCGCAGCCCCTTCTCCGGTTTGCAGGAGGGCAGAAATGAATCTCCTCTCACTCGGGCTTTACCCGCCTGAGGAGAGCAACGGCAAGTCCTTCGCGCCAATTTCCTGACCGCTCCAGGCACTCTGACTGAGGAATTCTGGGCGTTGAAGTCCACAAGTCAAAAGGGCCAAGTTTGAAGACCCCAGCCTCAACAAGGAGCCAGAACGAGAGATATGTGCTTCCTAGAGGGTACCTGGTAGGAAGAGAATCAAAGGGGACCTTCCTTTTCCGGCCTACCGGAATGTCTACGTCACTGTTCTTCTGCGAAGGGGGGGCGGTATTCGCTCAAAGGCGGGCGGTGGAAGCGGAGGCTGGGACGGCGATGCTTGCAAAGGGCAGGGAAGGACCGATGATCTCGATGTCACCCATCTTCATCGCCCTCTTTCACCTGCCCTGGTCCTGCGCCCTGCATGGAAGTTGGGGAGGCTCCGCTGAAAGGTGGGGCTCTCCTTGGTCTCTGGGTCCAGCGCAGGACGGACGGATCGGGGGCTCAACGTCGGAAGGCGCCTGGTAGCTCCTTTTCCAGCTGACACCTTTCCTTGCAGAACGAGAGCTTCGTGAGTGCAGCCGCCTCCGTCAGATGCAGAGACTGACGCAGGATGGAGATCTGGGAGGGCGACGGGAGGGGGAGGCAGGTTGGATCCGGGGCTGCAAAGGAGGGGAAGCCTCGCCCTCTGCCTCGCCCTGCAGGTCGGCAGGATGGCTGGAGCAGGAACAGGGAGCTTTCTTCCCTCTATACTCCCTTCCTGGAGACGGGACTTGCTCTCTAGGTGCAAAGCGATTCGTTTGCCGGGTTGCTAGAGCAGTAGTGAGCGTAGAGGACTGAGGGTTTCAGTTTAACGGATCTGGCGCCGATCCCCTCGTTTTGTTATGTCTCTGTTTAAATACTCCTCCTCTGGATATCGTGAAAGAACAGGTTTTCTTGGACAAAATATTACCTATCTTAGTCAATACTCATTTGATGTTCCGTAACCAATTCATCAAGAATCTGTAAAACTAAAGATCAGGAACAAGCTAAAATTCCATATAACAACTAAATAGACTTCTCAGAGTAGCAATTTGCATGTTTTACACAGGAATTATACATTTTTCCTTTAGGTGTTGAATTTACAATATACTTACTGTGTCAAAATCCACAAGTTATTTTTAAACAAAGCCTTGATTTATATCTGTTCCATGCCCTCAAAATGGAACATCTAAGTCTAAGATAATGATTTTTCAAGTGTGAATTAACATTCACTTTCCCATAGCATAAATAGCCTCCACCCCCATTGCTAAGCAGCACTTTTGCTGTCCAAGAGGTGGCTGAAAAAAGTCAGTTTGGATTTTGGGGTGGACCTTTTTCAGCCCGTCCCCAGGAAACAGTGGTCTGAGTCCTTCCTTGCAGGCTTCCTCATTGACTTTCAGGGAAGCCTGCAGAGCAATTGTAAATATTGATCAGATGATTGTAAGGCATTTGGCAACAAGTGGAAAAATTAAGTAAAGATACCTAAAGTATATTCAAACTGTGATTTGATAATGTATTTTATGGTAAATTTTGGCTTTCTGGCGTATTTGTACTCAGTATATCCAAAAATTTTGTGGAGGGGAAAAAAGGACTTTCCATCTCTTCAGTTTCTAACATTAAACACATTTTCAAATAAGCTAAGCTGTTTAGTTCTCATAAACATATACATATTTAATAATTTCTTTTGTAAGCTTTTGTCCTTCTTTGCACGGATTTACACTCTAAATATCCTTGCTTCCTTGTTGCCAAAAATATTTGTCCAGAAGAAAAATAACTTTCTGAAACTGTTTGGTTAACAAGTTCTGTTCATGAAAAAGAACATTCATTTCTGGTTATTAGGTACTGTAAAGACCCACTTCAATTCCACATCTTAAGAAAGCAGAACTCTTGGAAACAATTTCTTCCAACAGGAACTTTTATTAAGAGTAGTTGATAGCAGGCATAATATTCAGGATCTGTGGGATTCTTTACAGATTGATACTTTAAAGTGTCCCTAAGCAAACCCCACCCCACAGTTCATCCGGATGGTTCAGACCGGCCAATCCCCAGGTGTTAAGTCCATTGTGGGAAAGGGAAGATAACATCGGTCCGGCTCTGTTTGTAGCACGATGTTCCACAGCTCTTCATACCTGTTTTGAGACCGGAGAAATAAGCCAGGTTCTGGATGTTTGTATTTCTCCCCCCCCCCCCGCCTTTTTCTAGCTGCCAGGTTAGGGAGAAGAAAGTTCAGAGATGCATAGTGCAGGAGGCAATTTGTTACATTCTAATGGGCAGCAGACCCAGAGGCAATAAACAAAGGCTTACATTGTAGTGAATAGAAGTGAAAGCCATAGGCCCGCAGACATATCCCCCCTCCCCCTTGGTTGTATGGCAGAATCCAGGGGAAGGTGAGATTTGGTTTTAGGTCAGAGGAAATAGAGAGAAATGAAATATAAATGGGTTCTGACAGGTACAGTTGATGCTACCAAATTTCTAGAATGATCACAGAAATCAGATGCTCCATTTGAGATATGAATGCACGTGTTTGACTGTGTTTTTCTGCATGTGCATCTTTGGGAAGGGCAACTGTTGGGTGCTGAACTCATCTTGGATACAGGTTTGGGATCTGCATTCCTGGTCTGGGAATCCTGACTGGAGGATGAATTTGACAGCCCTTTGAGCTAAATCCAGACAAGATGCACTAGAATGAATACTAGTGCCATCTGTGAGGCCACAATACAAAATCCTAAAACTGTGCAAGTATTTCTCCCCTCCTCTCCTCTTACTCTTAAAAATTAGGGAGTTTCTTCTACAATTGTACCAATGCCCCATCACCCTCACAATCTCCTTGTGGGGACTAAGTTATCTTTTAGATAATAGTTGTTCAGCCTAAGCCTGAGAATGAATAGTTTGAATAGAATCAGCTGAAAGGAGTCAACTAATTCCTGCATTAGAAGAAAAAAAGGGAGAGAAGAAAGAATGAATGAATTCTGGCCACTCCCTCAAAAGCTAGAGCTTCTTACATCCCTGAGGAGGCTGGGAGGTTGAAATAGGCTTGAATTTATTTTTTTCCCATGAATTATCTCTGAGTGAAAACAAACATTTGCCTAAAGAAGAAATAAATCATCCTATAACTAAGGTCACTGATCTGCCCTCAGCAGTTTTGATATTTGATTGCTTATAGTTTTTCTCCTGTGTGATCACTTGAATGGTAGATAACATTCCAGTTCAAACCAGAGATTTTTTTCACTTTCCATGCATTAATAAACTTTCCACCATGTCTAGATCCTTGGATGAAGAATGACCGTTGTGAATAAAGTTCAATGCATGGATTCATTTGTTTTCTCCTGTATCGTTTTATGAGAAGCCCATTATTCTCAGTGAAGCCTATTCTTTATTCCTTTCATTTCTATTTTTCCGCTGTGTTGCTCCCTCTATGACAACTAAAGGTGCTGTAATCAATAAAGGTTTTTCCCCCCCACATTCAATACATTTCTGGGTTGGTTTCCCTATGGATTCTTTGGTGGACAGTAATGCCTCTCTCCTCAGAAAGGCTCTTTCTAGCCTCCATGAATTTATATGCTCTTTATGAGAACTAAGTTTGTGTTTTGTAACTAAAGCTCTTTCCACACTCTGTGCATATATATGGTTTCTTTCATGTGGACACTGGTGATCAGTAAGGGCGCTTTTAGCAAAAAAGCTCTTTCCACACTCCAGGCTTTTGTATGGTTTCTCCTGTAAGGATACTTCAGTGGCGAATAAGATTAGTTGTTACTGAAACTATTTCCACTTTCCAGGCATGTATATGGTTTATCCTCTGTGTGGATCCTTTCATGAGAATTTTTCTTCTTTTCGAATAAAACTCCAGATTCTGAGCATTTATAACGTTTCTCCACAGAGTGGATCTTTTGGTGGAGTTTTAAAATTAGTCTTCCTACTGAAACTCTTTCCATTCTGTATGAAGTTTCCTCTTTCTGCTCAAACTGAAATCCCCCCTGCCAGACCTTACAGAGATATGTAGTTTGTGTTTCCTATACAGTTAGTTATTACTGAAGTAAGAATAAAGGAATTATTTCAGAGAAATAATGTCATGGTTCCGACAGATGTACCGTATATACCGGTTTATAAGGTGACCCGGCGTATAAGACGACCCCCGTCTTTGGCGCCGAGTCGCATGCCTAGAACATCGTCTTATATGCCGGAAACTACCAGTATTTCCGGCGTATAAGACGACCCCCGACTTCAGCGCCGATTTTAACGCTTGCGGAAGTTGTCTTATACGCCGGAATATACGGTACTACATGTTCGAAGCCAAAATCTGAATTCCCAACTGAGAGTCATAAATCGCATTCTCCAATTAGTTTGAAATGCAAACCTTCCCTTCAGTTCTCTAACAGGCCATTCCTTATCATCTCTTATTTCACAAAACCTTCAACAATACTCTACTGCGATGTTGTGTCTAACTAATCCCCATGCACATTCTTCCCCCCCTTTCCCAGCATTATCTAATTCTAACTCTAAAAGTAACACAAAGGTTAAAGAGAAAATGGCTGCATCTTCATATATTGTCAAAGCAAGAATATCGGATGTTAGCAGCGTTGACATCCCTGTTCTGGACTATTTAACAGTTTGCCTGCTGAAGGAGTTTGGTGGCTTTGACTTCTGCAGAAAAGAATCCATGCAGTGCGATAAGCCTATTGGCTGGCCAGCTGGAGTACCCTGCACACGGTCTTGCATGGGATGGAAGGCCCTCCTCTCCTGCCACTTTGACCTTGAGAGGACTAGTGCAAAACTTTGAATGCCAAAGATATACGGGGATGGTTCCACTACACCAGCAGGTGGGGATGTACATGTGTGCACAGACACTTGCTTGCCACTTCTGTGCCCAGTTCCAAAGGGTTCATGAACTAGTAGTGGTCTGTGGTCCGTGGGTTAGGGATCCATGATTTAGAGTATTTATCAGTCTCTGGCCTTCCCTTGGGAAAGTTCAGGCGAGATCCACTTCGTCAAGTCAATTGTAGGATCAGCCATTTTCTGCAGTACTGAAAACTGCCACCTGATTCTTATTCCACCTGGTCTTGCCACTGAAGTTGAACGAGAGTGACATGCAGGAGTTGCTGACTGAAAAGGAGTCCAAACAATGGACACATGGTTCCCAGTGGGGACCTGGTGAGAACAAAAACCTTCCTTTTCTGAAAAAGTAGAAAGACGCTCAGCTGGAGCGGTGATACATTAAAACATGGGGAAGGAGCAATGTGTTGCCCTTCTAAACTGTGTCCTTGATCTTGTCTTCTGCCTTGCAGGAAAATCAGGAAGGCTGAGCTCAAAGATAGAGATTTTTCTTTGTCTCTTGAGTCCAGCTCTGGATAGGTCCTAAATATCAGAAAGGATCTGGTAGCGCCTTTTCCAACTGTTTCCTTAAAAGCCAAGAGCTTTGTGAGTGATCTGTTTAAATGTTCATCCTTGGAGGTCATGAAAAACAAGGTGGACGACAGATTACCTTGGAGAAAATCTTGCTTATGTGGTCACTAAGAGTCAACACTGATTTGATGGCCCATAATCAATTTAAATACTAGTTTATCAAGAATGTGTGACTAAATCTCAGGAAGAATCTAAAGAAAAAAAATCCTCCAGTGCCATATGATAACTTAGACTTCTCAGAGTACCAATTTGTATATGTTTTGTGCAAGAATTATCCTTTTCTTTAACTTTTGAATTTACAATTTAAAAAGATCTACCATTTAACATCCAAAGGACTTTGAAAACCATTGTTTTCAGTTTAGGTCTGATAAAAGACTGCCAGGAGATTCCCAGTAAGGGGCCCTGAAGCCCCACGGTGCAGCTCCTAAGATCCACCATGCAGCTTTTCCACCCGCTCTTCCTTGTGCCAGCATGGACTTAACAGGGCCGGCAAGGGCAGGAGGCTGTTTTAAGCACAGACACCCACTGGCCATCAGTGCCAGGAGGAAGGCATGTAGCATCCAGGGCAAGGTGCAACAGAAGAAGAGGATCTTCTGCCCAACTCATCTTGACTGGCCCGGAGCAACTTTGTGGGTCTGAATCCTGATGCCTGCAGCTATTTTGCGGTGAGGAGTTTCACTGTCTCCCCTTTGCTGCCTGAGTCATTCTGGCCAAGACTTTCCTGTTCTTTGTAGCTCTCCTAGGTCTCCTTTGCTCCCCTTCCGGACCTCACATTTTTTCCTGTCCCCATCTGAAAAACGACAAATCACCATTAGTCAATTGCAAAAGATAGCTTTACTCAGAACAGATTACAACCTGTGATAAAACACCATCAAACGGACATTCTCAGTTATCCATTCATGGTTTTCTCAAAGGTGGCTTTTCAAAAGGGCAACTGGACTATGCATTTTTCCTTAAGGAAGGCATTTTGCTTCTCATTCAAGACGTTTCCTCCGTCAAATATCCACCACTTCTACCTATCCCGGGTCCTTGGGAAGGGCTTGATTGGCAGATAAAAATGCCAAATTAATTATTCTCAATGAATGACTCTGGGTGGCTTACAATTAAAATAATGTATAATTCAAAAAATAAAAACATTTTGAAAATAATAAAAAAACAATCCAAAATAAACATACAGCAACCACTGTATTGTTAGTCTGGTAACAATAAAGCCAGGAAAAGGGGGCATTGACAGCCCCTTGCTCGGGAAGGTTTTTAAAGCCCTCAGAAAAGCCAACAGTTTTGGGGCAGTTCTACTCTCCCTAGAGGGAAGGATATTCCATAAGGTAGGGGCTACAGCCAAAAAGGCCATTCCTACTTCCCACCAAGCTGACGTTCTTTGGCTGACCAGATCTACAGCATGCCCAACTTGCTAGATCAAATTGGACAGAGACTCCTGGAAGAGGCAGCCCAGCAGGTAACCTGATTTCAGCCATGAAGGGCTTTAAAGATGACAACTAGCACCTTGAAATGTGTTTGGAAAATATTGATAACAAGGGCAGCTCATGGAATAGTGGTGTCATGTGTGTCTTATATCCAGAACCAGTTGCCATCCACGCTACTGAATTCTGCACTAGTTTTCTCTCCTTCGGCACAAGATCAGGGCAGTTCCTAACAGCAGAAAACTGGGCTGCCAGTTGTGCATCTATTGCAGGAAGAGCAATGGTGGAGCTGATTTGTTCCCTACCCTAATCACAACATGGTGGCTGGCCTGAGCAAAAGAGAATTTTGAGAATTCAGATAATTCCTGCTCTGGGCTGTGGGACAGTTCACCTGCTGCAGTTTGGTGATTTTGACTTCTGCAGAAAAGAAGCCATGAAATGCGATAAGCCCGTAAATTGGAATATGGGAGTTCCCTGCACAGGCTAGAAGGCCCTCCTCTCCTGCCACTGTCACCTTGGGGAGGAGGGCACCGGAAATCATTGGGTGCCAAAGACACATGGAACACATATCCAATTTCTGATAAGAGTTAGCTATCTCGGGACGGAGGGCCTTCAATATGCTATGAGACAGCCGTGGGAGATGGGAATCTTCATGGTCAAAGTGGCCCTTTAGTGGATCCTTTGCCTGAATTCTCTCAGTCCACCTGCTGTTAGTTAGAGGCTCAGAGGTGGGATATTGATGTTGTTTTCTTCACTCCAGCTGGGAGCCTATCAGATCTCACAAGTGATTTAGAGTATTTTAAGAGTTTCTGGGCTACCTTTGGGGACACTCAAGCAGCGAGATCTATTTTGTCAAGTCACTGGTGGAATGAGCCATTTTCCAGTGCTGAAAACTTTGTGGGCAACTTTAGTTACTGGCTGTCCCACCATTCCTCTTTTCCCTTCTTGTATTTGCTGCCTTGCTGTTTCTCTCCGGCTTCATTTCCTATTGCTCTGGCTTCAATTCCTACTACTGCCCCGCCAACCTTTTGCTCAGCCATGCCCTCTAAACTTTCCTCCCAGCTGATTTGAGTGATTGGGAAGCAAACCCGAGAATGGAGAAGCCACTCCACCTCCTGTCCATCTCTTAATAGTTTGAACTAGGTAACAATGGCAGTGGAGCGATGTGAAGGCTGTTCAGAATGCAGGACATCCACACGGGAGTCTCGAACCAAATTTTCCACCCGTTTCTCATTCCGCTTGGCTCTTGCCAGTGAAGTCAAAGTGAACCATAAGTGACACCCAGGTGCTGCTGACTGAAAATGACAACTATGCTGGCCAACAACCAATCTATGGGCAAGTCTGCAATGCTAAAAACATAGTCCGGAAGCCCGGAAATAAGCTGTTAAGAGCAACAGGAGACATCTAGGTTGCAGGAACAAACCCCAGATTTAGCCTATCCACAACTAGGATGGTCCTGCCCTGTGTCCAGACATTTTTTTCTCTTGGGGGACTGCTGCCCCCCTCATAGTCTGTGTACAGGACTGGCCTGTACATAGCCTTCTCCAAAACAAAAAAGGCTACGTTTTCCTTCGCACATTCAACGGCCACATTTTATTTTATTTATTTTATTTATGAGACTTATATACCGCTTTAAGTGCAAGCACTCTCTAAGCGGTGTACACCAGTAAGCAATGTATATATATATTTACATTGCCCCCAACAATTCCTTCATACAACTCCCCTTGGGTGAGGGGGGCATCCAAGAAAACCAGCAGGGCAATGTGTGATCCTGGACTGAGAAAAGATGTCCCTCCTGCCATCGATCGTTTCCCCTGGCAAGAAGCCGGCTAGTGGGCACCAGTTAGATGTGTCCTTTACACCTTCTTTCCTGAAGCTCTTCCCTCCAAATCCGAGATCTAAAGGCAGAGGAGGATCAGCCCTGCAGGTAAACTAGTTCAGAAGGACCTTTGGGAACCACCAAATAGCAGTGTGGATTTTGGATCACTCTATGTGTAGAATCACCTGGCCAGTTCTTACTCTGTTCCTTGTTGCAGGACCAAGCAGGCTGGAGGTTTCTGTGCTTGTGAAAAAGTTTAATATCTCTGTATCTCTCTTTCTGAGTGTATCCTTGGGAAGGGCTATTGTTGGGTACAGAAGTCACCTTGCATACAAGTATGAGGTCTGCATTCCAGATGTGCGAATCCTGATTGGAAGAACCATTTGTCAGCCCTTTGAGCTATTCCAAACAAAATGCACACCAATGACTTCCAGTTTGCCATCGTGGATGCCGCGGACGCTGGAAGGTGAGCTCTGTCTTCCGTGTTCGATTTCATTCTGCTGGGGGACCCTGGAAAGGGTCGAAAGTCACCCTGTAGGGGTGACAAACAAAGAAGAGACCCCTGCTTGATTACGGAAGGGCAGCAGCCCTTCCGCTTGATCTAGGGCAGCCCTCCAAACCGGCAGAGGAAAGAGTGGCCATAGCAATATGGCTCGTCACTAAGCTGCTGACAGCCAAAGTCAAACTTACCATCAAACACACTTCTAAAGCAACTTGGATGAAACTGGATGAGATCTGATCTTCTCTTTAAGATCTTAAGTATTTTGTTTTCCTGTAAAAGCTGCCCAAAGTATTTTTTTCCCCTCTGAGGAGAGAGGGAATTTTTACCCCACCCTCTAAGAACAGCGGCGACTGACTACCCAGGGGAGTTAAAGCACTATAAGAACAATTTTAATCTAATTGGATTTATATGTTTCTGAAATTTGGGCACCAAAAGTTTTCTTATTCTTACTGGAGATTTTTGTTTTTATTTACAAAAAAGAAATAAAACTGGAAAAAGGATTATAAAAATTTGGACTTAAAAAACTTTAAATGGCATCAGTGACATCTTGTGGCGAAGTATGGTATTGCAACTTGTTATTGCCTAAAAGAGACTTGGCTTGAAGCCCATATTTCAGATAAAACTCTTTTGATCTTGATAGATACCACCTGTGAGAAACTCAGCTGTAAAGAGAATTTCTGGGCAGCATAATTGGCCTGTTTGAACTATGAATGTAAACCTTTACTGACTTTCAGAGTTATATGTGGGGAATTGCTTTCCTATTTCTTTATATGAGAAACATTTGTTATTACACGAGATGATAGAATACCTTGGACTATAAAATCTTACTTGACAAATAACTTCTACTATAAAGACCACCTATAATACCGTACTCAGCATGTGATCCTCAATGGAACCGCCTCTACATGGAGGGAAGTGTGTAGTGAGGTGCCCCAGGGCTCTGTTCTGGGCCCAGTGCTCTTCAACATCTTCATCAACAATTTGGACGAGGGGATAGATGGGGAACTCATCAAATTTGCAGATGACACCAAGCTGGCAGGAATAGCCAACATTCCAGAAGACAAGCTTAAGATACAGGAGGATCTGGACAGACTTGAACACTGGGCACTATCTAAGAAAATGAAATTCAGTGGTGAAAAAAGTAAGGTTCTACATTTAGGCAAGAAAAACCAAATGCACAGGTATAGTACGGGGTACCTTGCTTAATAGTAGTAACTGTGAGAGGGATCTCGGAATCCTAGTGGACAATCACTTAAATATGAGCCAGCAGTGTGCTGCACTTGTCAAAAAAGCCAACACAGTGCTGGGGTGCATCAACAGAGGGATAGAATCAAGATCACATGAAGTATTAATACCACTTTATAATGCCTTGGTAAGGCCACACTTGGAATACTGCATCCAGTTTTGGTCACTACGATGTAAAAAAGATGTTGAGACTCTAGAAAGAGTACAAAGAGCAACAAAGATGAGGAGGCTAAAACATACAAGGAACGGTTGCTGGAATTGGGTATGTCTAGTTTAATGAAAAGAAGGACAAGGGGGAACATGATAGCAGTGTTCCAATATCTCAGGGGCTGCCACAAAGAAGAGAGAGTCAAGCTATTTTCCAAAGCGCCTGAAGGCAGGACAAGAAGCAACAGATGGAAACTAAAGGAGAAAAGCAACCTGGAACTAAGGAGAAATTTCCTGACAGTTAGAACAATTAACCAGTGAAACAACCTGCCTTCCAACACTGGAAGTTTTTAAGAAGAGACTGGACAGCCATTTGTCTGAAATGGTATAGGTTTCCTACCTGAGCAGGGGGTTGGACAAGATGACCTCCAAGATCCCTTCCAACTATTATTATTATTATTATTATTGAGGTCCCATATCTAGGTATAAAAATTATTTTTAACATCTGATTTTAAAGTCCTCAACTTAATACACTATTAAGAGAATATGGATGAAGACCAGGAAAAGATCCTTTCCATGTTGAAAGCAGTACATACAAAGTCCACCCCATACAAAGGCCCTGTTCCTGTGCGCTCGCGGCCTACTGGTTCTGGCAAAAGTAAACCCTACCCGAAATTAAGTCCTAGTGCTTATTTCAGAGACCAAAAGAAAGTAAGACCGGGTCTTACTTTTGGGGAAACACGGTATTGGGCTCAAGAAGACATCAGTAAGGTCACTGATCCAACCTCAGCAATTTCCAAATTCCAGTGCTTGTCCTTTTTCTTCTGTGTAGCTACATGGATGGTAAATAAGATTCCATACAAACCAGATTGTTACACATTCTATGAATTAGTAAGCTCTCTGCCATGTCTGGATCCTGGGATGACAATTAAGTTGATTGCTGAGAATAAAGCTCAATCCACGGATTTCATTTATTTTTCCTGTGTGGATCATTTTATGAGAATTAAGCACACTCAGTGATGGTTGTTCCACTTCTCAGGTATTTCCAATTTTATCCTGTGTGGATGCCACTCTGACAAGAGGTTGGAAACTTTGGGGAAAAAACCCTGATAAGAGTCCTGTGGTTCATGACGATTAAGTTTTTCTTTTTGAGTAAAGTTCTTTCCACATTCCATGAAATTGTATGTTCTCTCTCCAGTGTGCATTCTTTTATGAAGTTTAAGATATTCTATTCGGGCAAAGATCTTTCCACATTCCATGCATTTATATGATTGCTCCCCAGTGTGAATCTTTTGGTGGAGGTTAAGTCTATTCTTGCTAATGAAACTCTTTGCACACTCTGTGCATTTATATGGTCTCTCCCCAGAGTGCATCTTTTCGTGACGATTAAGATTTCCACTCCTGGTAAAGGTCATTCCACATTTCATGCATTTATATGGTCTCTCCCCAGTATGGATCCTTTGATGAAGATTAAGTTTTCCTTTATGGATAAAGGTCTTTCCACATTCCATGCATTTATATGATCTCTCTCCAGGGTGCATCCTTTTATGAAGTTTAAGATATCCTTTTCGGATAAAGATCTTTCCACATTCCATGCATTTATATGATCTCTCTCCAGTGTGCATCCTTTTATGAAGTTTAAGATATCCTTTTCTGATAAAGATCTTTCCACATTCCATGCATTTATATGATTGCTCCCCAGTGTGAATCTTTTGGTGGCGATTAAGATTTCCATTCCTGGTAAAGGTCATTCCACATTTCATGCATTTATATGGCCTCTCCCCAGTATGGATCCTTTGATGAAGATTAAGTTTTCCTTTCTGGATAAAGGTCCTTCCACATTCCATGCATTTATATGATTTCTCTCGAGTGTGCATCCTTTTATGAACATTAAGATATCCTTTTCTGATAAAGATCTTTCCACATTCCATGCATTTATATGATTGCTCCCCAGTGTGAATCTTTTGGTGGCGATTAAGTCTATTTTTGCTAATGAAGCTCTTTCCACATTCTGTGCATTTATATGGTCTTTCCCCAGAGTGTATCTTTTCGTGACGATTAAGATTTCCATTCCTGGTAAAGGTCATTCCACATTTCGTGCATTTATATGGTCTCTCCCCAGTATGGATCCTTTGATGAAGATTAAGATGTACTTTCTGGATAAAGGTCTTTTCACATTCCATGCATTTATATGGTATCTCCCCTGTGTGGATCTTTTGGTGGAGATTAAGATGTTCTTTCCATGTAAAGGTCATTCCACATTTCATGCATTTATGTGGTCTCTCTATGATGTGAATCTTTTGGTGGCGATTAAGTTTATTGTTGCAAATGAAACTCTTTCCACATTCTGTGCATTTATACAGTCTCTTTCCAGTATGGATCCTTTGATGAAGACTAAAATGTCCTTTCTGGATAAAGGTCTTTCCACATTCCATGCATTCATATGATCTCTCTCCAGTGTGCGTCCTTTTATGAAGATTAAGACATCCTTTTCGGGTAAAGTTCTTTCCACATTCCATGCATTTATATGGTCTCTTTCCGGAGTGCATCACTTCGTGACGTTTAAGATTTCCATTCCTAGTAAAGGTCATTCCACATTCCATGCATTTATATGGTCTCTCCCCAGTGTGGATTTTTTGGTGGCGATTAAAATTACCTTTGCTAGAGAAACACTTTCCACACTGCATGCACAAATTCCTCTTTTTGCTCAGACTGGAATCCCCCCCACAATTTCTCATTTCCCTCTGATCTTGCTGGGATAGGAAGCCACAAATACCAACAGGAAGAGAAGAGGATGACTTCTCCATACCATCTTCTGGCTTGTTTCTCTTTAGCCTTTTGGTGTCACTTTGATGGCCTAGGGTTTGTACTTGTAATTCATTCTTCACTATTTGGAGTAGATTTAACCTTCCCTGCTTGCTGTTCTCATTCACAGATATATCATCTGCATGGGGAAAAAAAGAAAATTAACATTCTGATTAGAATTTAGAAGCTTAAAGAGGCGTGTCTTCCCCCATCACTCAAAAAACATGCACCAATCTGTATTCCAGGTTTGGTACAATTCACTTGTCTAGCCAGGATGTGATATTTGCAAATTGTTATCTAAGAGTCTCTGATTGTACAGAAATATTTTTTTTTCAGCCCAAAAAACAGATTAAAGCTTTGGTGCTGATCAGTCAATGTACTCAGTCTCTTCCACGGAGCATCTAGGATATTTCTCAAATTTAGGATGAGCATTTCTGCCACGGCCTTATAGGGAGATGAACATCTTGGCCTTACCCAGAACAACCATATTCCCAGCAATCTCCAGCATGACTTTTCTGCAGAAGGCCTTCTGGCCAGAATCTAGCAGCCTCCACTCCTCATCCGTGAAGTTCACAGTCATCTCCTTAAAGGAATCAGAGCTCTAGAAGAGAAAAAAGCAGACAATCCCAGGAAACAATTGAACATTTTGTCTTACAGAAAACACACATTTGCAAGAGACCAAATGGACATTTTCTTTCAGGATAGATTCATGTCTTCATGTGTACACAGTCCTTGGGGTTGGGAAGCTGCAGTTGCACAAATCACGGCTTAGCTGCTTCCAGGTTGTAGAATGCAATTTAAGCACCCTTGGAGAGCTTCCCAGTAGCTTTCGGCAGAAAATCCCCTAGAATTACTTGCCATGCTGACCAAATTCCTGAGAAAACAGAACACAGTCACTAGGAACGTCTTTCCTACCTATTTCAAAATATTGGAAACGTCCTTGAAATCCCAAGTTACTTGAACAACAATTTTATTGTTACAGCCATTTAGTGTTGACTTACTGGCTTATCCTTCATATGCTATATTTTTCTTGGTATACTTACAGACACATTACAAGGGAGACAGGTGGCATAAATATTTAATAAAATAAACAAACACTTCTCAGGTATGTTTAATCCCACTATTACTGTCTCAATACATGGGTTTCATTTCTAACTCGTTTTAAGCACACTTTTAAAATAGTATTATGGGGTGCTAAACTCTTTGTAGAAATAAATTATATTGCTAATACAAAGTTCCTGCCTGTGATTTGTCTCATTTCCATTTCCAGCAGAATCTTGAAAGCAAATGTGGGTAGACACTATGTTCAAGTGCACATAGACTCAGCTTTCAGTATTAAACACAGCTCCTGAATGGATGGAGCTGGAAAGCTACTGTTCTCAGAAGAAACTGCACCTACCTGGTAAAGTGGCCAGAATTGGGCCCTCCTGAAAAACAGCTCCTGAATAGAACTGGATCGATCTCCTCTGCCGCGGAGCTCAGCTGAGATCTCCTCTGTGAACAGCTCCTGCGTTTCAAGAACAGCCTGATTCATAATCTATTTTCAGAGGACAATATCTATGATAGTTCACATTCCTTACATTTTGCTTTCCGACTTGTATTTCCAGAAACCCAATTCAGAGACACTTCAGGGACTCTGCATGTACTGATATTTCTGAGGAAATGAGAGTTAAAACAGCAGGCTGTGTTTTTATGTACATAAACTGTAAGGGTGTGTTAATTAGTTTGTTTCTCTTACTATTGTGGTATTCTAGGGCTTATTAAATGTGGCTCTGTATCAGAGGCCATTCACATAATCAAGTTGCTTCCCCTTATCTAGATTCAGGTGACAGCAGATCACAAAGTAAACGCTGATTATGAGAAATGTGGATAACATCACAAAGCATACAGAGGTATAAAGGGATAAATTAATTTGCCTCAAGAAGAATCCATTCTCCAAAGGTGAGGAATTCCAGAAAAGTCTGCAGTCATATTTTTAATCTCTCTTATTAGAGATGGCTAGATCTCTGATCCTTCCCCCTCCCCGCCCCCGGATGAAGCCCCCCCCCGGCCCTCCTCAACTGCCCCTTTCCCGGCTCTTCCCGCTGGGCTTGGCTGAGGAGGAAGCCTTCGGCCAGGGCCACCGCCTGCGAACAGCTCTCGGCTCCGCACTCCCTCACCCAGCTCGCCATCTCCGCGGGCAACAGGGCCAGCAGCTGCTCCAGCACCACCAGGTCCAGCATCTCCCCTTTGCTGCTCCTCTCCGGCCGCAGCCACTGGCGGCACAGGCGGTGCAGGCGGCTGCAAAGCTCCCGGGGCCCCTTGGCCTCCTGGCGGCAGCCGTCGAGACCGCGGAAGCGCCGGCGGAGGATCTCTGGGCTGAGGGCGGCCTCCATCCCTGGAGATCCCTGGGCCTCCGTCGGGTCTCCTGCTCGAGGGCAACCAAAAGAAGACCGAGACGGTCCGAAACGCCTTCTCCGGTTTGCAGGAAGGCAGAAGTGGGTCTCCGCTCACTCAGCCTTTACCCGCCTGAGGAGAGCAACGGCAAATCCTTCCCGCCAATTTCCTGCACGCTCCTGACCTCAAGTGACAGAACAAGGAGCCAGAACGATAGATATGTGCTTCCTAGATGGACCTGATGTGAAGAGAATGAAAGGGGACCTTTTCCGGCCTCTCGGAATGTTTGCGTCATTGCTCTTCTTCAGAGGAGGGCGGGGCTCGCTGAAAGAGCGGCGGAAGGGAAGCTAATACGGTGATGCTTGCAAAGGGCAGAGAAGGACCGATCATCTCGGCGTCGCCCCTCTTCATCTGCCGCTTACTCCTGTCCAGGTCCTGCGGCTTGCATGGAAGTCGGGGAGGCTCCGCTGAAAGGTGGGGCTCTCCTTGGTCTCTGGGTCCAGCGCAGGACGGACGGATCGGGGGCTGAACGTCGGAAGGCGCCTGGTAGCTCCTTTTCCAGCTGACACCTTTCCTTGCAGAACGAGAGCATCGTGAGTGCAGCCGCCTCCGTCAGATGCAGAGACTGACGCAGGATAGAAATCCTGGAGGGCGACGGGAGGGGAAGGCAGGTTGGATCTGGGGCTGCGAACGAGGGGAAGCATCGCCCTGGATTTCGGCAGGATGGCTGGAGCAGAGAGCTTCCTTCCCTCCATGCTCCCTTCCTGGAGACGGGACTTGCTCTCGAGGCGTAAAGCGTTTCTCCCGGTGATTCTTTTGGCGGGTTGCTAGAGCAGAAGGGAGCGTAGAGGACTGAGGGTTTCGGCTTAACGGAGCTGGCGCCGATCCCCTCGTTTTTCCTGTCTCTGTTTAAATACTAATCCTCTGGAAATCGTGAAAGAACAGATTATCTTGCAGAAAATCTTACCTATGTTAGTTAATCCTCATTTGATGTCCCATAACCAATTTATCAAGAATCTGTTTAACTAAAGATCAGGAACATGCTAAAACAAAAATCTTAATTCCACATAAGTAGTAGACTTCTCAGAGTAGCAATTTGCATGTTTTACACAGGAATTATAGTTTTCTCCTTTAGGTGTTGAATTTACAATATATAAAGACCTACCATTTATTATTTAACATTCAAAGCTGTTTGAAAATCAGATCATTGTTTCCACTTTAGGTCCTCTGCTAAAAGACCAGAAGTAAACTTAGGATAAAAATTAGGAAAGTTGGTTCTTTTTTATTATTTTTTTAACAAAATTTAATTAAATTTATATAGGTGAGGAAAAATAGGAACAATACAGGTAGGGTAAAGGGAGGGGTAAAAGGAAAGGGGGAGGAGAAGGAAATAAGGAATTAGGGTAAAATAAGGATAGGTACAATCACATATTTCAACAAACAAGCAACCATCCGGATCATAATAATGAGTCAATATATTCAACCATTTTTAACAAAGCTTAAACTGTAACATATTAAAAACAATTAGTAAACAAATATGTTGATCTATTAAGTAAACACTACTAATAAGATCTCAAAAATAAATCCTAACAATCAAAAGTAACAAATGAAAATCAGTAAATCAGGAAAAGTAATCGTATCATCAAAATGTTAGTTAGAACTCGATTAAAAATCAGTCATCTATTCTAAACTATTAAATCCTTCAATTTTTAACATGTCTCTAACCATTGATAAAAGTTTTCCCAAGTTCTAAAATAAATTGAATCATCTTTTTCTTTCATTTCTAATGTTAGTCTATCCATTTCTGCACACTCTAAAATTTTGGTGATAATAATCTGGTCAGATGATAGATTCTTTTTTCCAAAATTGGGCAAATACTATCCTTGCAGCAGTTAAAGCATGCAATATCAAGTAGTCATTCTTTTTGCCATAATTAGGAAAGTTGGTTCTTAACCCACCCCCAAATCTAAACATTTGTTGTAAGAGGCTTTTCTCTTTCTGGTCAAGTATTACATGTAGTTTGTAAATAAGAAGAGCCACTTACTTCCAATCCCAACTCAACTCTGGCTGTTCCAATGGGCTTTGGGTGAAAAATTGCTGTGAAGAGGGAACCCACCTGCTAAATCAAGCCTTTCTAGTTTGATTATGCTTCTATCATGAATTTGTTTTTGTTATTTCAGAGGTAATTTTGTTGCTATATATATATCAGCATTTTATTTCTTTTAATTTTTTAAGCCACCCAGACTCCCCTGGTGGTAAGACAGGTGGAATATAAATTTAATTCATAATAAAGGAATAATAAGTTATAATCATCTTATTGTGAGGATTCTTTATGCATTATAAATCATACTTAAAATATTCTAAAGATTCCTTTCTCTATTTGAATTCTTTCTAATCATTGTGTATAAGAAAACCTTTGGGAAATGTAATTTTTTCTTCAAGCTTCAAAATCTTCCTCAGAAAATCTGAATATGTCACCATAATTAACTCTACATAGTTACCTTTTTTGTTCCATAGCATGCTTCTTGTGTCAAAATCCACAAGGTATTTTTAGACATAGTCTTGATTTATATCTGTTCCATACCCTCAAAATGGAACATCTAGGATAATGATTTTAAAAGGCTGAATTAACTTTCACTTTCCCATACCATAAATAGCCTCCACACCCTTTGAATCCTTCCTTGCAGGCTTCCTCATTGACTTTCAGGGAAGCCTGCAGAGAAATTGTAAATATTGATCAGATGATTGTAAGGCATTTGGCAACAAGCAAAAAAATACTAGAGATACCTAGTTTATTCAAACTATGATTTGATAATGTATTTTACTGTAAAATTTGGCTTTCTGGCGTACTGCTACTCAATACATCCAAAAATCTCGGGGAGGTGGGGGAAAGGAGTTTCCATCTATTCAGTTTGTAACATTAAACACATTTTAAAATATACGTCATGGTTCCGATAGAGGAGACGAAACCAATCAGAACTCTGAGGCTAGAAATTTCCTCAAAGAACATTTTTATTGGCTACATATCGGCAGGGTTAAAAGTGAAACCAAGTCTGAAATTCCTTCCCAAGAGACACACTATTACAAAGTTAAACTTCCCACCTGAGTGCTGTGTAATCCGGTATGTTCCCCAATATTTATTTATTTATGAGACTTATATACCGCTTTAAGTGCAAGCACTCTCTAACGGTGTACACCAGTAAGCAATGTATATATATATATACATTGCCCCCAACAATCTGGGTCCTCATTTTACCTACCCCGGAAGGATGGAAGGCTGAGTCAACCTTGAGCCGGTGAGATTTGAACCGCTGACCTGCTGAACACAGTCAGCTAAAGTGGCCTGCAGTACTGCACTCTAACTGCTGCGCCACCTCGGCTCTTATAGTATAGAATACTTTGGCGGGCTCCATTTGAGACATGAATGCATGCTTGACTGGGTTTTTCTGCATGTGCATCTTTGGGAAGGGTGATTGTTGGCTACTGAAATTGTCTTGGATAAAGGTTTGGCATTTGCATTTCTGATCTAGGAATCCTGACTGGAGGATGAATTTGTCAGCTCCTTGAGCTAAATCCAAAAGCACTAGAATGAATACTAGCACTAGAATGAATACTAGCGCCATCCCTACTGAGAGGCCACAATACACTATCCTGCAACTCTGCAAGTATTTCTCCTTCGCTCCTTTTGCTCTCTGGGAAAACTAGGGAGAGTTTCTTCTGTAATGCTTCCAATTCCTTCTCTCACACACACCCCAATCTCCTTATGGGGACTTAAACTATCTTTTAGATAATGGCTGTCTAGTCTAAGGCTCTTCCCCCTCTCCTAAAGTCATTCCCACATACCATTACCCCATCCCTATCCATGTTCTCCAGAAGACTTTTCCACTGTTTGTTTGTAAAGAAGAGAAACAAAGGCATGTAAGACTTTCTAATAAGGTTTACTGTATTTTCAATGAGAATGAATAGTTTGAACAATATCAGCTGAAAAGAGTGAATTAATTCCTGCATTAGAGGAAAGAAAGGGAGAGAAGAATGAATGAATTCTGGCCACTCCCTCAAATGCTGGAGCTTCTTACATCCCTGAGGAGGCTGGGAGGTTGAAGTAGGCTTGAATTTCTTTTTCTCCCATGAATTATTTCTGAGTGGAAACAAACATTTGCCTAAAGAAGAAATAAATCATCCTCTAACTAAGGTCACTGATCTGCCCTCAGCAATTTTGATATTTGATTGCTTATAGCTTTTCTCCTGTGTGACTACTTGAATGGTAGATAATATTCCAGTTCAAACCAGATATTTTTTTCACTTTCCATGCTTTAATAAACTTCCTGCCATGTCTAGATCCTTGGATGAAGAATAAGTTGACTGTTGCAAATAAAGCTCAATGCATGGATTCATTTGTTTTTTCCTGTAGATCAACGCCCGGTCAGCCTGGGCCAAGCCGAGGCACTGTGGGCCGGTCCTTTGTCGTTTCCAGGGCGGCTCTGCGGGCCGAACATAACCACACAGTGGGCCGGATTTGGCCTGCGGGCCTTGCGTTTGATATGTCTGCTGAACAGGGAGTCCTCAACTTATAACATTTTGTTTAGTGACATTTCAAATTTACAACAGCACTGAAAAAAGTGACTTATGACAATTTTGACACTTAACAACCATTGCAACATCCTAATGATCATGTGATCAACAGCCAGATGCTTGGCAGCTGGTTTATATTCAGGACTGTTGCTGTGTCCCAAGATCATCCAATCCCCTTTTGTGATGTTGTGACAAGCAAAGTCAATGGGGAATCCAGATTCACTTAACAACCAGATTATTAACTTATCAACTGCAGTTATTCACTTAACAACATAGGCAAGAAACGCAGTAAAATGGGGCAAAATTCACTTAACAAATGTCTTCATTAACAAGATAAATTTTGGGCTCAATTGTGTTTGTAAATCAAGAACTACCTATAGTCATTAAAGGTTTTTTCCTTCCACACTCAATACATTTGTGGGCTGATTCTCCTGTGGATACTCTAGAGGCCAGTATCACCTCTCTCCTCACAAAGGCTCTTTCTACCCTCCATGGATTTATATGCTCTTTATGAGAGTTGTCTTCTCCAAGTAAAGCTATTTCCACACTCTGTGCATTAATGCGGTCTATCCCCAGTGTGGATCCTTTGATGACAATTAAGATGAGCTTTCTCAGTATAGCTTTTTCCAGTCTATCCACTTATATGGTCACTTCCCACTGTGAGTCCTTTGGTGGCAAGTAAGATGACTGTTGCTAATGAAGCTCTTTCCACATTCCATGCATTTATAAAGTCTGTCCCCAGTATGGATCCTTTTGTGATGATTAAGATCTCCTTTCCAGGTAAAGGTCATTCCGCATTCTGTGCATTTATATGCTCTGTCCCCAGTGTGGATCCTTTTGTGATGATTAAGATCTCCTTTCCGGGTAAAGCTCTTTCCACATTCCGTGCATTTGTACGGTCTGTCCCCAGTGTGGATCCTATTGTGACAATTAAGATCTCCTTTCTGGGTAAAGCTCTTTCCACATTCCATGCATTTATAAGGTCTGTCCCCAGTGTGGATCCTTTTGTGACGATTAAGATTTCCTTTCTGAATAAAGCTCTTTCCACATTCCATGCATTTATAAGATCTCTCCTCTATGTGGATCTTTTTATGGTGATTAAGTTTTTCTTTCTGAATAAAGCTCTTTCCACATTCCATGCATTTATATGTTCTCTCCCCATTGTGTATCCTTTCATGAAGATGAAGATATGCTTTCCGGGTAAAGGTCTTTCCACATTCCGTACATTTATATGGTCGCTCCCCGGTGTGGTTCCTTTGGTGACAAATACGATTACTGTTGCTAATGAAACTCTTTCCACATTCCGTGCATTTATAAGGTCTGTCCCCAGTGTGGATCCTTTTGTGACGATTAAGATCTCCTTTCTGGGTAAAGGTCTTTCCACATTCCATGCATTTATATGGTCTCTCCCCTGTGTGGATCCTTTGGTGGCAAATAAGATTACTGTTGTTACTGAAATTCTTTCCACACTGCATGCAGACTTTCCTCTTTCTACTCAGACTGGAATCCCCTCCAGTTTTTACAGATGTATGTGGTTTGCATTTCCAGTACAGTTTCTCTGGTGGAGTAGAAGTGAAGGTGTTATTCTCCATAGTGTCTAGAGGCATGCAGGTTTTTTTTAGTGTGGATTCTGCCATAGTTATGTAATTCAAATTCATGTTTTCTTTTTTTCTTTGCTAATGAAACTCTTTCCACATTCCGTGCATTTATAAGGTCTGTCCCCAGTGTGGATCCTTTTGTGACGATTAAGATCTCCTTTCTGGGTAAAGGTCTTTCCACATTCCATGCATTTATATGGTCTCTCCCCTGTGTGGATCCTTTGGTGGCAAATAAGATTACTGTTGTTACTGAAATTCTTTCCACACTGCATGCAGACTTTCCTCTTTCTACTCAGACTGGAATCCCCTCCAGTTTTTACAGATGTATGTGGTTTGCATTTCCAGTACAGTTTCTCTGGTGGAGTAGAAGTGAAGGTGTTATTCTCCATAGTGTCTAGAGGCATGCAGGTTTTTTTTAGTGTGGATTCTGCCATAGTTATGTAATTCAAATTCATGTTTTCTTTTTTTCTATGTTTTCCTTTTCTCATTTCTTTCTGATCTTGCTGGGATAGGAAGCCACAAATACCAAGAGCAGCGGATGACTTTTCCCCTCCATCTTCTGGCTGTTTTCTCTTTAAACTTTTCGTGTCCCTCTGATGGCCAAGGATTACTTTTACATCATTCTTCTTTATTTCACGTAGATTTAACCTTGTCTCCTTATCGTTCTCATTCAGAGACACACCATCTGCATGGGAAAAAAAGAAAATGAACATACTGCTTAGAATTTAGAAGGTGCCCCTCAAAAACATGCCAATCTACATTCCAGGTTTAGTAAAATCCATTTGTCTAGCCAGGATGTGATATCTGCAAATTGTTATCTAGGATAAGGCTTTTCAATCGGTGGTATGCGTACCACCTGTGGTACGTTGGCATGTGATACATGGCCCAGCCCAGGGTATCAGGGGAGTGAACGAGCCAAAGTGGCGTAGTGCAGAACTTGCCCTGAGAGAGTCTTCAGGAGCTGCAGGGCTGTTTGGGACGAGGCAAAGGCCCCAGGACTGGCACTTCCATCACGCTTCCGGAAGAGAAAGGAGGGGGGCGGAGACAGGAATGCACCAAAGGGAAAAGGAGGAGGCGGGGTGAGAGGACAAAAAACAGGCTGGGCATGCACACAGGTGGCACCGACAAACAGGTAAGAAACGCACCTGGGAAAGGGTTGCAGTATGAGAGTCCACGTTATCTGCACTACGCCACCCAGCTCTCCCCTCTGCCTGCCCAATTTCAGCAGGCAGCGGCGCTCTCTCCTCACTCTGTGGAGAGGAGGCGGTGTGCGCATGCGCTTGGGGTCCCGGATGAAAGGGAAGCACTGAGAACATGGTCAGTCTGCGTGGCAAAACAGTCACCTGGGATGACAGGTGCCCAGCACATGCGCTCGCCACCTCTGCACACGCACAGAAAGGTTCAGCATGTCGCCAGTTCGCTTCATCCGGCCGCTCCGTGCAATAAAGAGAGCGCACCGCTGCCTGCTGAAACCATGCTGGGGTCTGAGCGGCATAGCACAGGTAATGTGGACTCTTATGCCGCTCACACCGTTCCCTCCCCTGGAGTCCACAGGTGTGTGAAGTGGCAAGGGTCATTTGCTGATCTCCTTCAGGGGATGCCTGTTTTTCTCCCTCCCTCATTACAAATATCTTCCTGCCACTCTGCTCTTAACGCTGTGCGGCTCTTGTCCAGCAATTTACAGTGGCCTTGCAAGCCATGGCCATCGGCAGCACAGCCACCAGCCACACTGGCAGCCTCTCCCCCCTTTTTCTGGGCACGGAGGGAGGAAGGAAGGGACAATGGGAGGCAGGGAGGGAAGAAAGGAACAAAGAGGGAAGGAAGGAAGGGACAAAGAGGGAGGGAAGAAAGGAACAAAGAGGGAAGGAAGGAAGGGACAAAGAGGGAAGGAAGGAAGGAAGGAAGGAAGGAACAATGAGAGGGAGTGAAGGAAGAAAAGACAATGGGAGGGAGGGAAGGGACAATGAGAGGAAGGGAGCAAAGGAAGAGACAAAGGGAGAGAGGGAAGGAAAGGACAAAGAGGGAGGGAGGGGATGAGAGGGCGCCCTCCCGAATCCCATCCCCCTAAAACAAAGACCCATGGATCACCCCTGCACCCCCCTCAGGCACCCCGCGACCCGAGTGACATTGAGTTCCCACCCCAGCTATTGACTTCGCTTGTCAAAAAGTTGCAAAAGGTGATTACATGACCCCGGGACACTGTGACCGTCGTAAGTATGAATCAGTTGCCAAGCATCTGAATGTAAATAACATGATCCTGGGGATGCTGCAACAGTCATAGATGTGAAAAATGGTCATAAATTCACTTTTTTCAGTGCTATTGTAACTTCAGTCACTAAGCGAATAGTCGTAAGTAGAGGACTACCTGTACTTTATCACTTTTTTCTTTTTTTGGTCATCAAGTCTGACACCTTGCTAGGCGATTAGTGGTACTTGGATATTGCCTTATCCTAAAAGTAGTACAATGGATGAAAAGGTTGAAAAAATCTAGGAGTCTCCTGATTGTATAGAAAGAATGTTTTCAGCCAAAGAACAGGTTAAAGCTTTGATGTTGATCAGTTAATCTATTCAGTCACTTCCATGGAGTATCTAGAACATTTCTCAATTCTACAGTGAATATTTCTGCCACGACCTTATAGCGAACTGAACAGCTTGGCCTTACCCAGAGCAGCCTTATTCCTAGAAAACTCCTGCATGACTTCTCTGCACAAGGCCTTCTGGCCAGAATCTAGCAGCCTCCACTCCTCATCTGTGAAGTCCACAGTCACCTCCTCAAAGGGATCAGAGCTCTAGAAAGAGAAAAAAGTAGACAATCCCAGGAAACAGTTGAAAGTTCTCTCTCTTACTGCACACAACGGAAAACACACAATTGCAAGAGCCAAATGGACATTTTCTTTCAGGACGGATTCATGTCATCCTGTCCACATAGTCTGTGGGGCTGGGAAGCTACAGATGAACAAATCACACCTTAGCTGCTTCCAGGTTGTAGAATGCAACACAGCCACCCTTGGGGAGTTTTCCAGTAGCCTGGAGTAACTCAGCAAGTAGTTTTTGGCAGAAAATCTACCCGCCTCGCTGACCAAATTCCTGAGAAAACAGGACATAGCCATTAGGAACTTCTTTCCTAACCTATTTCAAAATATGGGTAATGTCCTTGAAATCCCAGTCACTTGAACAACAGTTTTACTGTCATAGCCACTTAGTGTTGACTCACTGGGTTATACTTCATCTGTTATATTTTTCTTGGTATACTTAGACACATTACAAGAGAGACAGCTGGCATAAATATTTAATAAAATAACCAATTCTCAGGTATGTTTAATCCCACTGTTATTGTTTCAATTTATGGGTTTCATTTCTAACTATTTTAGGCACTCTTCTTAATAATATTCAGAAATATTAAACTCTTTCTACAATTAAATTACATTTCTAATACAAAGTTCCCTGCCTGTGAATTGTCTCATTTGCATCTCAAGAACAATCTTGAAAGCCAAATGTGAGTGGACACTGTGTTCAAGTGCACATAGACTCAGCTTTTGATATTAAACACAGCTCCTGAATGGATGGAGCTGGAATGCTACTATTCTCAGATAAAACCTGAACTTACCTGGCAAAGTGGCCAGAATTGGATCCTCCAGAAAAACAGCTCCTGAATAGAGGGGAATGGATCTCCTCTGCCCCGGAGCTCTGCTGAAATCTCTGTGAACGGCTCCTGCATCAGAAGAATAATCTAGTTCATAATTCACTTTCAGAGGTAGTTTGCATTCCTTACCTTTTCCTTCCCTACCTGTACTTCCCCAACCCAATTCAAAGACACTTCAGGGAGTCTGCATATGATTGTATTTCAGAGTAAATGATGAACGGGGGAGTTTTCATGTACATAAACTGTAAGGATGTATTAATTAGTTCACTTTTCTAGAGTTTATTAAATGTGGCTCTCTATCAGAGGCCATTCACATAATCCAGTTGCTTCCCCTTATCTAAATTCAGGTACCAGCAGATCACACCAATTATTATGAGATTATGTGAACAATTTCACAAATGATATAGATGTGTAAAGAAGAGAAAGGTTAATTTAGGAAACAAACATTTGTCTCAAGAAGAAATCAATTCTTCAAAAGTGAGGAATTCCAGAAAGGGCTGCAGAGTCATATTTTTAATCTCTCTTATTAGAGACATGGCTAACCCTTCCTCTCCCCTTCCCGCCCCCCATGGATCTGCCAGGATGAAACCCCCCCCCCGCCCTCCTCACCTGCCCCTTTCCCGGCTCTTCCCGCTGGGCTTGGCTGAGGAGGAAGCCTTCGGCCAGGGCCACCGCCTGCGAACAGCTCTCGGCTCCGCACTCCCTCACCCAGCTCGCCATCTCCGCGGGCAGCAGGGCCAGCAGCTGCTCCAGCACCACCAGGTCCAGCATCTCCCCGTTGCTGCTCCTCTCCGGCCGCAGCCACTGGCGGCACAGGCGGTGCAGGCGGCTGCAAAGCTCCCGGGGCCCCTCGGCCTCCTGGCGGCAGCCGTCGAGACCGCGGAAACGCCGGCGGTGGATCTCTGGGCTGAGGGCGGCCTCCATCCCTGGAGATCCCTGGGCCTCCATCGGCTCTCCTGCTCGAGGGCAGCCAAAAGGAGCCCGAGGAAGTCCCAAATGTCCCCCAGCCCCTCCGAAACCCCTTCTCCGGTTGGCAGGAGGGCAGAAATGGGTCTCCGCTCACTCGGGCTTTACCCGCCTGAGGAGAGCAACAGCAAATCCTTCCCGCCAATTTCCTGAACGCTCCTGGACTCGCGTGCCTCAAGAAGGAGCCAGAACGAGAGATATGTGCTTCCTAGAGGGGACCTAGTAGTTAGAGAATCAAAGGGGACCTTCCTTTTCCGACCTCCCGGAATTTCTACGCCACTGCTCTTCTTCGGAGGAGGGCGGGGCTCGCAGAGAGTGGCGGAAGCTGGGACAGCGATGCTGGTAAAGGACCGATGATCTCGGCGTCGCCCCTCTTCATCGCCCGCTTTCACCTGCCTAGGTCTTGCACCCTGCATGGAAGTCGGGGAGGCTCCGCTAAAAGGTGGGGCTCTCCTTAGTCTCTGGGTCCAGCGGATCGGGGGCTGAACGTCGGAAGGCGCCTGGTAGCTCCTTTTCCAGCTGACACCTTTCCTTGCAAAAGGAGAGCTTCGTGAGTGCAGCAGCCTCCGTCAGATGCAGAGACTGAAGCAGGATGGAAATCCGGGAGGGAAAGGCAGGTTGGATCCGGGGCTGCGAACGAGGGGAAGCCTCGCCCTCTGCCTCGCCCTGGATTTCGGCAGGATGGCTGGAGCAGAGAGCTTCCTTCCCTCCATGCTCCCTTCCTGGAGACGGGACTTGCTCTCTAGGCGTAAAGCGTTTCTCCCGGCGCTTCGTTTGCTGGGTTGCTAGAGCAGAAGGGAGCGTAGAGGACTGAGGGATTCGGTTTAACGGAGCTGGCGCCGATCCCTTCGTTCTTCATGTCTCTGTTTAAATACTAATCCTCTGGATTTCGTGAAAGAAGAGATTATCTTGGAGAAAATCTTACCCATTTGATGGCCTGTAATCAATTCATCAAGAATCTATGTAACCAAAGATCAGGAACTAAGCTAAAAGAAATCTCTAATTCCATATGATAACTAAATAGACTTCTCAGAGTAGAAATTTGTGTATGTTTTACACAGGAATTATACTTTTTTCCATTAGGCATTGAATTTACCATATAAAAATATCTATGATTTATTATTTAACATCCAAAGTTCTTTGAAAATCAAATCATTGTGCTCACTTTAAATCTTCTGCTAAAAGACTAGTAGTGAACTCAGAATAAAAAGTTGCAAACGTGGTTCTTATACCCACCCCTGAATTTAAAAATTTGTTGTGGGAGGCTATTCTCTGTCTGGTCAAGCGTTACAGGTAGTTTGTAAATAGGAAACAGTCTTTCAGTCACAATTTGCTTCCAGACCCAATTTAACTCTGGTTGTTACAACGTGGGTTTGGGTGAAATTATGTATTTGTACAGTAGTTTGATTGTCCCTTTAATGATTTTTTATTTTTGTTATTTCAGATATATTATTTTATTGCTATATATATTTGTATTTTTAATAATGATGATGAAGTTAGAAGGGACCTTGGAGGTCATCTACTCCAACCCCCTGCTCAGGCAGGAAACCCTATACCATTTCAGACAATTGGCTGTCCAGTCTCTTCCTAAAAACTTCCAGTGTTGGAGCATTCACAACCTCTGGAAGCAGATTGTTCCACTGATTAATTGTTCTGTCAGGAAGTTTCTGCTTAGTTCTAGGTTACTTCTGTCTTTGGATAGCTTCCATCCATTGCTTCTTGTCTGCCTATGGGTGCTTTGGAGAATAGCTTGACTCTCTCTTCTTTGTGGCAACCCCTGAGATATTGGAACACTGTTATGTCACCTCCTGTCCTTCTCTTCATTAAACTAGAGATACCCAATTTCAGCAACCGTTCCCTATATGTTTTACTCTTCAGTCCCCTAATCAAAGTTGTTGCTCTTCTCTGTACTCTTTCTAGAGTCTTCAACATCTTTTTTACATTGTGGTGACCAAAACTGGATGCAGCATTCCAAGTGTGGTCTTACTAAGGCATTGTAAAGTGGTATTAGCACTTCATGTGATCTTGATTCTATCCCTTTGTTAATGCAGCCTAGCACTGTGTTGGCTTTTTTGGCAGCTGCAGTATACAGGTATACTATACTGTGCATTTGGTTTTTCTTGCCTACATGTAGAACCTTACTTTTTTTCACCATTGACTTTCATTTTATTAGATAGCACCTAATGTTCCAGTCTGTCAAGATCCTTCTGTATCTTAAGCCTCTCTTCTGGGGTGTTGGCTACTCCTGCCAGCTTGGTATCTTCTGCAAATTTGATGAGTTCCCCATCTATCCCTTTGTCCAAATCATTGATGAAGATGTTGAAGAGCACTGGGCCTCGAACAGAGCCCTGGGGCGCTCCACTACACACTTCCCTCCATGTAGATGCAGTTCCATTGAGGACCACTCGCTGAGTATGGACCACACGCTGTTTTATTGCTTTTAACTTTGTAAGCCCCCAGCCCCCTTGTGGCAATACAGGTAGCAAATAAATTTAGTAAATAATATTTTGATATGTTTTTTGCCATTCTTTAAATCAGTGCTTTTCAACCCGTTGTACGCATACCACTGGTAGTACTTCGACAGGTGGCAGGTGCTACACATACAATGGGTTGAGAAGCAGTGTAATAAAAAGTGTGTGGGGGGGGGAAATGGGGAAGTGGATGATCTGAAATGGTGGCAACCCGTACAGGCCTGTGAGAGAGTCAGCTGGAGCTATGGTGTTGCCAGGGCACTGCTGAGTGCCCAGGATCACCAGGGGGCTCCATCTGATTGGCGCCCCTGGAAGTAGCCTTGGGAAAGGAGTCAGCTGCAACCAAAGAGAAGAGGAGGGGGGGAGAGAGGAGAGGATATAAAGCAGTGGTTCTCAACCTTTCTAATGCCGCGACCCCATAATACAGTTTCCCATGTTGTGGCGACCCCCAACCACTTATACCTCATTGGGTGCCAGGGGCGTGGCCAAAGAAAAGGGGGAAAAAATGGCGGACAGCCTTGTTTGGCGACCCCCGTGAAATGGTCGTTCGACCCCAAATGGGGTCCCGACCCACAGGTTGAGAATCACTGATATAAAGGGACGCTTTGGAGGGAAAGGGAGAGAAAAAATGGGGAAAGAGAATGGGACACAGAAAGAGAGACGGAGAAGAGGCTTCTTTCAGACAAGGAGAGGGAGAGAAGGGGATAGAACAGTGCAAATATTACTGTCAGAGAAAGAAGCACAAGTTTCCCATTAAAAGAGTGTTAAGTGGGTGTACAGACAGTCGCTTTAATATGTTTCTTACACAGGCTGCACAAAGTTAGCACTAGGGATCAGTTCTCCCAGGTGTGTTTATATACAATTATTGCCCCACCTTTCCCACACCCACACCAACGCCCATAACAGAACGTCCTAACCGTGCTTCACGAAAGCCAGGAAACAGGAACGTTGCAGTATTCAACAAGCTTTATTCACTATGTTGAAACTAAGTTAGCACTGGAACGAAGCTCCATTCATTGCCCTAAATACATTCCTCCACCACACCCAGAGTACACACCCCAATTGACGGTTAATTGGTCATCTGGAATCCACCTGTCCCCCTCCCCATACCTGCCTTGTGATAGTCCTCCACCCTACCTACGCCCGATCCAGCTAGTACTTATGTTCAAACCTTACATTGAGTCCACGCCCCGATCCAGCTAGTACTTATGTTCAAACCTTGCATTGAGTCCACACCCCGATCCAGCTAGTACTTATGTTCAAACCTTGCATTGAGTCCACACCCCAATCCAGCTAGTACTTATGTTCAAACCTTGCATTGAGTCCATGCGTTCCGTTCACGCCATTCTCATCCCTAATGTCCCACTCAACCTCTTCCTATAATACCCCCTCCCGGTATCCAAGTGTTGTCAGACCCAGCGTCCCAGTTCCCATCATTCACAGAGTCACGGTTCCAGCAACATAAGCCAGAACAGTTTTAACAGCAGTCGGCTTCTCCATATTCCATTTCTATGTAGCCTCCGTCCGGTTATGTGCTGGCAACATAGGATGTTCATGTGACCCGTTCGGCCGCCGCTGTTGGCGATGTAGCTCACGAAGCTACCGGACTCGGCTGGAACACAGGGTTAACTGGAACATTCTGGACTTTGGAAGGTAAGTATCACGCTGGGTCTGACAGCCCATGCAGCACCACCCACACCAACGCCCATGCAGCACCACCCATATTTCTTACCCCACCCCGTTCTCGTATAAATGGCCAATAAATCCTGAAGCTTCCAGACGATGCCTCCGATCAGCTGTAGTGCGGGTGCTTGATCGGCTTCGGCTCTGTGGCCACGCATGCGCAGTCAGTGTATTAGGCTGTCTGGGTCCTCTGTGCATGCGTGGCTTTGCCCTACATCGGTCTAGGCACCAACTGCACCTGCGCGGCAATTGTACTGTGCATGCTCGTCATTATCAGCTGGATGTCGGGCCTCACAGATCGCCGTCGTCAACTCAGGAAGCTTGCTAGCCATTAGGTGAGTATCCGCAGCGTCTGGATCGGGTATATAGGAGCACCCTCCTCTAAGGCCCGACATTCAACCTACAACCGGAATTGAGCCCAAAATTTATGTTGCTAAGTGAGAAATTGGTTAAATGAGTTTTGTCCCATTTTATGACTTTACTTGCCCCATTTGTTAAGTGAATCACTGAAATTGTTAAATTAGTAACACAGTTCTTAAGCGAATCTGGTTTCCCCATTGACTTTGATTGTCAGAAGGTTGCAAAAGGGGATCACGTGACCCCGGGACCATCATAAATATGAATCACTTGCCAAGCATCCAAATGTAAATCACGTGACCCTGGAGATGCTGCAACAGTCATAAGTGTGAAAAAATGGTCAGAAATCACTTTTTCTGTGCCCTTGTGACACTAAGCGAACTGTTGTAAGTCGAGGCCCAATTTTTCCTTTTTTTGGGGGGGGTCATCACGTTTTTGATACTTGCTAGGTGACTGGTGGTAGTTGAATACTGTCATATCCTAGAAGTGGTACAATCTGTGAAAAGATTGAAAAGCCCTGCTTTAAATGTTACCTCAGTTGAGAGAATAAGTTTTGTCTGGAACAAAAATAATGTTCAAAATAAATCTCTCTTCTTAATTATAGAAATTCTCCCCAACAACTGTAGCTTCTCCCTCTTTACCATATCTTTATCAACATCAACCCATACCTTAAAATAATTATTTTGAAACAACACACAGTTCATATTTGTCAGATTAACACCCAAGTATTTTACTTTTTATTCAATCTGAAAACCTAATTTTTTAAGCAATTGTTTCACCTATATAATTTTTAACATCTTGTTTATTAGTGTTATAGCCCCATTGGCCATTTATTTATTTATTTATGAGACTTATATACCGCCATTAATACAACTCTTTTTTAAAATTTCAAAATTATTTTAATTTTTCTCTTTTCTTATTTTATGGAGTAGAAAGGTTATCCTGCTGGTCAGTTGTCCCTGTCCCTTGGCAGAATATTGGGGTTTTTTTCTCGGTTCTTCCCATTTGACAAAAACTCCACACTCCTTTCTTCCTAGGTATACTATGTTGCCGTACAGTTTCTCTCTCCCCCTCTTCTTTAATATTTTCCCTCAAGATATATTTTGTCAACTTCTGGGTATTCCCAATTTAGTTTTGCATCCACTGGTCTGTCCCCAGTGTGGATCCTCTCATGAAGATTAAGATGTTCTTTCTGAATAAAGCTCTTTCCACATTCCATGCATTTATATGGTCTGTCCCCAGTGTGGATCCTCTCATGAAGTTTAAGATTTCCTTTCTGGATAAAGCTCTTTCCACATTCCAGGCATTTATATGGTCTGTCCCCAGTGTGGATCCTTTCGTGATGATTAAGATTTTCTTTGCAGCTAAAGGTCTTTCCACATTTCATGCATTTATACGGTCTGTCTCCAATGTGGATCCTTTTGTGACGATTAAGATTACCTTTCTGTGTAAACGTCTTTCCACATTCCATGCATTGATACGGTCTGTCCCCAGTGTGGATCCTTTTGTGACGATTAAGAGGTCCTTTCTGGGTAAAGGTCAATCCACATTCCATGCATTTATACGGTCTGTCCCCAGTGTGGATGCTTTCGTGATCATTAAGATTTGCTTTCTGGGTAAAGGTCTTTCCACATTCTGTGCATTTATAAAGTCTGTCCCCAGTGTGCTTCCTTTCATGAAGATTAAGATTTTTTTTCTGGGTAAAGCTCTTTCCACATTCCATGCATTTATACGGACTGTCCCCAGTGTGGATCCTTTCATGATATTTAAGAAGTAGTTTCTGGGTAAAGCTCTTTCCACATTCCATACATTTATACAGTCTTTCCCCAGTGTGCATCCTCTCATGAAGATTAAGATTTCCTTTCTGAGTAAAGCTCTTTCCACATTCCATGCATTTATATGGTCTTTCCCCAGTGTGGATCCTCTCATGAACATTAAGATTTCTTTTTTTTGTAAAGCTCTTTCCACATTCCATGCATTTATATGGTCTCTCCTGGGTGTGCATCTTTTGGTGGACATTAAGATTACTTTTCATACTGAAACTCTTTCCATACTGCATGCACCATTTCCTCTCTCTGCTCAGGTTTGAAGCCACCAAATATATTACAGAGGTATGTGGTTCGCATTTCCAGTATAGTTTCTCTGGTGAAGTAGAAGCGAAGGAGCTATTTTCCAATGTTTTTAGAGGCATGCATGCTTCCTGGTCATTCTCATTCACAAACACCTCATCTGCATGGGAAAAAATGAAAATTAATATTCTGATTAGAATTTAGACGCCAAAAACATGTCAATCTACGTTCCAGGTTTACCACAATCCATTTGTCTAGCTAGGATGTGATATTTCGAAATTGTTATTTAGGAGGTTCTATTATATAAAATTATGTTTTCAGCCAAAAAACAGATTAAAGCTTTGCTGTTGAATCAGCCAATCTAGTCACTTCCATGGAGTATCTAGGATATTTCTCAATTCTATGGTGAACGTTTCTGCCATGACCTTATAGCGAACTGAACAGCCTGGCCTTACCCAGAGTATCCATATTGATAGAAACGTCCTGCATGACTTCTCTGCACAAGGCCTTTTGGCCAGAATCTAGCAGACTCCACTCCTCATCTGTGAAGTCCACAGTCACCCCCTGAAAGGAATCAGAGCTCTAGAAAGAGAAAAAAGTAGACAATCCCAGGAAACAGTTGAAAGTTCTCTCTCTTAATGCACAGAACATAAAACGCACAGTTGCAAGAGCCAAATGAACATTTTGTTTCAGAATGGATTCATGTCAACCTGTCCACATAGTCCAGGGGGCCGGGAAGTTGCAGCTTAACAAATCACAGTTTAACTACTTCCACGTTGTAGAATGCAGCACAGCCAACGTTGAACAGTTTTATTGTTACAGCCACTTAGTATTGACTTCCTGACTTAAACTTCATGCGCTATATTTTTCTTGGTATACTTACAGTTACCTTACAAGAGAGATGGGTGGCATAAATATTTAATAAAATAAATAAAAATTTCTTAGGTGTGTTTAATCCCATTGTTACAGTTTCAATCCATGGGTTTCATTTCTAACTATTTTAAGCACTCTTCTTAATAATATTAAGAAATATTAAACTCTTTCTACAATTAAATTTCATTTCTAACAAAAGGTTCCTGCCTATGAATTGTCCCATTTGCATTTCCAGCACAATCTTGAAAGCCAAATGTGGGTGGACACTGTGTTCAAGTGCACATAGACTCAGCTTTTGGTATTAAACAGAGCTCAGTGGAAGGAGCTGGAAAGCTACTGTTCTCAGAAGAAACGTGCACCTACCTGGCAAAGTGGCCAGAATTGGGCCCTCCTGAAAAATAGCTCCTGAATAGAGCTGTATGGATCTTCTCTGCCCTGGAGCTCAGCTGAGATCTCCTCCGTGAATGGCTCCTCCATTTGAAGAACCGCCTGATTCATAATCTATTTTCAGAGGACAATATCTATGAAAGTTCACATTACTTACATTTTGCTTTCCTACTTGTATTTCCCCTACCCAATTAAAAGACACTTCATGGACTCTGCATGTACTTATATTTCTGAGTAAATGCCAGTTAAAACAGCAGGCTGTGTTTTTATTTACATAAACTGTAAGGGTGTGTTAATTATTTTGTTTCTCTTACTATTATGGTATTCTTGGGCTTATTAAATGTGGCTCTGTATCAGAGGCTATTCACATAATCAAGTTGCTTCCCTTACTGAGATTCAGGTAACTGCAGATCACAAAGTAAACACTGATTATGATGAGTTATGTGGATAACATCACAAAGGATACAGAAGTGTAAAGGGATAAATTAATTTAGGAAACAGAAGCATTTAGTTCAAGACCAAATCAATTCTTCAAAGGTGAGGAATTCCAGAAAAGGCTGCAGTCATATTTTTAATTTATCTTATTAGAGACATCGCTAAATCTCTGATCCTTCCCCCACCCTGCAGCTCCCAGGACGAAGCCCCCCCGCCCTCCTCACCTGCCCCTTTCCCGGCTCTTCCCGCTGGGCTTGGCTGAGGAGGAAGCCTTCGGCCAGGGCCACCGCCTGCGAACAGCTCTCGGCTCCGCACTCCCTCACCCAGCTCGCCATCTCCGCGGGCAGCAGGGCCAGCAGCTGCTCCAGCACCACCAGGTCCAGCATCTCCCCTTTGCTGCTCCTCTCCGGCCGCAGCCACTGGCGGCACAGGCGGTGCAGGCGGCTGCAAAGCTCCCGGGGCCCCTCGGCCTCCTGGCGGCAGCCGTCGAGACCGCGGAAACGCCGGCGGTGGATCTCTGGGCTGAGGGCGGCCTCCATCCCTGGGGATCCCTGGGCCTCCATCGGGTCTCCTGCTCGAGGGCAGCCAAAAGAAGACCGAGAGAGTCCCAAATGTCCCCCAGCCCCTCCGCAGCCCCTTCTGCGGTTGGCAGGAGGGCAGAAACGGGTGTCCGTTCACTCGGGCTTCACCCGCCTGAGAAGAGTAACGGCAAATCTTTCACGTCAATTTCCTGAGCGTTCCTGCGCTCACGTACTTCAACAATAGCGGTCTGTGGGCACTTTAATGATTGTGGACTTCAACTCCCAGAATTACTCAGCCAGGCAGCTGGCTGAGGAATTCTGGGAGTTGAAGTCCAGAAGTCAAAAGGGCCAAGTTTGAAGACCCCTGCTCCAGAGGGAGCCAGAACGAGAGATATGTGCTTCCTAGAGGGGACCTAGTAGGAAGAGAATCAAAGGGGACCTTCCATTTCCGGCCTTCCGGAATGTCTACTCCGCTGCTCTTCTTCGGAGGGGGGCGGGGTTTTCTGAAAGGCGGGCGGCGAAATCAAAGGATAGGAGGGCGATGCTTGCAAAGGGCAGGGAAGGATCGATGATCTCGATGTCACCCCTCTCCATCGCCCTCTTTCACCTGCCAGGGTCCTGCGCCCTGCATGGAAGTCGGGGAGGCTCCGCTGAAAGGTGGGGCTCTCCTTGGTCTCTGGGTCCAGCGCAGGACGGACAGATCTGGGGCTGAACGTCGGAAGGCGGCTGGTAGCTCCTTTTCCACTGACACCTTTCCTTGCAAAAGGAGATCTTCGTGAGTGCAGCCGCCTCGGTCAGATGCAGACACTGAAGCAGGATGGAAATCGGGGAGGGAAAGGCAGGTTGGATCCGGGGCTGCGAACGAGGGGAAGCCTCGCCCTCTGCCTCGCCCTGGAGGTCGTCAGGATGGCTGGAGCAGAGAGCTTCCTTCCCTCCATGCTCCCTTCCTGGAGACGGGACTTGCTCTCTAGGGGTAAAGCGTTTCTCCCGGCGGTTCGTTTGCCGGGTTGCTAGAGCAGAAGGGAGCGTAGAGGACTGAGGGTTTCGGTTTAACGGAGCTGGCGTCGATCCCTTCGTTTTTCATGTCTCTGTTTAAATACTAATCCTCTGGAAACCGTAAAAGATTATCTTGCAGAAAATCTTACCTATCTGATTAATCAATACGTATTTGATGGTCCGTAATCAATTTATCAAGAATTTGTATAACTAAAGATCGAGAATAAGCTAAAAAAATTCTCAATTTCATATGATAACTAAATGGACTTCTCAGAGTAGCTATTTGCATATGTTTTACACAGGAATTATACTTTTCTCCTTTACCTGTTGAATTTATAATATAAAACTATTTATTATTTACCATCCAAAGCTCTTTGAAAATCGGAGTGTTGTTTTCAGTTAAGGTCTTCTGCTAAAAGACAAGAACTAAACTCAGAATAAAGAGTAGCAAAGTTGGTTCTTAAACGCCCCCACCCCCAAATTTGAGCATTTGTTATAGGAGGCTTTTCCCTTTCTGGTCAAATATTACTGGTAGTTTGTAAATGGGGAAGAAGAACCGCTTACTTCCAATCCTAACTCAACTCTGGGGGTTCCAGTGGGCTTTGGCTGAGGTGTGGCTGAGAAGAGGGAAGCCCCCTGCTAAATCATGCATTTGTACTTTGATTATTCCTCTGCCATGAATTTTTATTTTTATTATTTCAGAGGTATTATAATTTTGTTGCTATTTATATATTACTATTTTTATTACTTTTAGCTTTGTAAGTCGCCCAGAGTTCCTTTGCTGAGACAGGTGGCAAATAAACTATAATTTAATCACCCCCCAATTGGAGAATGGCTTAGACGGAGTCTTTATGCATAAATACATTTGCCGACTAAATCTGTGTTCATGTGTTTCTGCTCCAGTGACCTCCTATGTGCTTAATTTCACCCAATCCGCGGCTAGCAGGGCCAGCAGCTGCTCCAGCACCACCAGGTCCAGCCCCTTTGCTGCTCTTCTCTGGCCGCAGCCACTGGCGGCACAGGTGGTGCAGGTGGCTGCAAAGCTCCGGGGCCCCTTGGCCTCCTGGCGGCAGCTGTCAAGACTGCGGAAGCACCGGCGGTGGATCTCTGGGCTCAGGGTGGCCTCCATCCCTGGGTCTCCGTCGGGTCCCCTGCTTGAAGGCAGCCACAAGAAGCCCGAGAGAGTCCCAAATGTCCCCCAGCCCCTCTGAAACGCCTTCTCCGGTTTGCAGGAGGGCAGAAATGGGTCTCCGCTCACTCAGCCTTTACCCGCCTGAGGAGAGCAACGGCAAATCCTTCCCGCCAATTTCCTGAGTGCTCCTGACCTCAAGTGACAGAACAAGGAGCCAGAACAATAGATGTGTGCTTCCTAGAGCGGACCTGGTAGGAAGAGGATGAAAAGTGACCTTCCTTTTCCAACCTCCCGGAATTTCTACGCCGCTGCTCTTCTTCGGAGGAGGGTGGGGCTCGTAGAAAGGAGAGTGGCGGAAGCTGGGACAGCGATGCTGGTAAAGGACCGATGATCTCGGCATCGCCCCTCTTCATCGGCCGCTTTCACCTGCCTAGGTCTTGCACCCTGCATGGAAGTCGGGGAGGCTCCGCTGAAAGGTGGGGCTCTCCTTGGTCTCTGGGTCCAGCTCAGGACGGACGGATCGGGGGCTGAATTTTGTTGCTATATATATATCAGTATTTTATTTCTTTTAATTTTTAAGCCACCCAGACTGCTCTAGTGGTAAGACAAATTTAATTCATAATAAAGGAGTAATAAGTTATAATCATCTAATTGGAGAGTGATTTGTGAGGATTGTTTATGCATTGTAAATCATACTTACAATATTCTAAAGATTCCTTTCTCTATTTGAATTCTTTCTAATCATTGTGTATAAGAAAACCTTTGGGAAATGTAATTTTTTCTTCAAGCTTCAAAATCTTCCTCAGAAAATCTGAATATGTCACCATAAATTAACTCTACTAAGTTACCTTTTTTGTTCCATAGCATGATTCTTGTGTCAAAATCCACAAGGTATTTTTTAGACAAAGCCTTGATTTATATTTGTTCCATGCCCTCAGAATGGAACATCTAAGACAGTGATGCCAACCTTTTAGAGATCGAGTGCCCAAACCCACCTCCACCTGCCCCATCCCACCCACCACTCTGCTCCCCATCCCATCCATCCCCCACTCTGCCCCTCGCCTGCTAGGCCACTCAATGCCTTCACATCCCGTTGCAAATCGCCCAGGTGGCCCAGCAGCACCATGGCGGCCATGCCCTCTGCCCACACTCCACAGCATCAATTGTGCGCGACGGCGTGAGGGCAGAGTCTTGTCTCCGCTGCCCAGCTACCGTGCCCTTGGCTGCGCTGCTCCACATGGGCCACACATGGGGTCGATTCTCCTCGGGGGGGGCTGCTGTTGAAGAGGGGGGATGCAGGTGGGGGCGGGGCTGGAGCGATGGTGCATGTGCCCACAGAGAAGGCTTTGAGTGCCGCGTCTGGCACATGTGCCATAGGTTCGCCACCACTGATCTAAGATAATGACTTTTAAAGTGTGAATTAACTTTCACTTTCCCATATCATAAATAGCCTCCACACCTGTTGCCCACCAGCACTTTTGCTGTCAAGGAGTTGGCTGAAAAAAGTCAGTTTGGATTTTGGGGTGAACCTTTTTCAGCCAGTCCCCAGGAAACAGTGGTCTGAGTCCTTCCTTGCAGGCTTCCTCATTGACTTTCAGGGAAGCCTGCAGAGAAATTGTAAATATTGATCACATGATTGTAAGGCATTTGGCAACAAGCAAAAAAACACTAGAGACACCTAGTATATTCATACTATGATTACTGTAAAATGTGGCTTTCTGGCGTACTGCTATTCAGTACATCCAAAGATCTTGGGGGGAGGGGAAGGACTTTACATCTGCTCAGTTTCTAACATTAAACACATTTTCAAATATACGTCATGGTTCCGATAGATGAGACCAAACCCATCAGAACTCCGAGGCTAGAAGTTTCCTCAAAGAACATGTTTATTGGCTACATAATATTGGCAGGGTCAAAAGTGAAACCAAGTCTGAAATCCCTTCCCGAGAGACAAACTATTACAAAGTTAAACTTCCCACCTTGAATGCTGTGCAATCAGCTACGTTCCCCAATAGAATACTTTGGCGGGCTTTCTAACCAAATGATCACGCCCACCTGAAAGAAATGAACTTGGTTCCCATGGGACAGTGAAATGGTTAGACTGGTAGAAATCCTAACCCTAACCTTCCCATTCTTGTACCAACCTACGAGCAAAATGGCTGCAACCAGGTTCATTATACAGTTGACAACATAAGCTAAATTCTCACTGGTCCACCCAAACCTATATATCAGTGATGGTGATCCTTTTAGAGCAGTGGTTCTCAATCTTTCTAATGCCGCGACCCCATAATACAGTTCCCCATGTTGTGGTGACCCCCAACCACTTATACATCACCGGGTGCCAGGGGCGTGGCCAAAGAAAAGGGGGAAAAATGGCGGACAGCCTTGTTTGGCGACCCCCGTGAAATGGTCGTTCGACCCCAAATGGGGTCCCGACCCACAGGTTGAGAACCACTGTTTTAGAGAGTGCCCAAACTGCAACCCAAAACCCACTTATGCACCGTCGGGTGTCGGATGGGTGTGGCCCACTGGCTGGGTTTGGCTGCGGTGGTAATGGCAGACTGGGTGGGACTAAAAAGTTCAATCAATCAATTCCAACTTTGTGAAATCTTTTTTTTCCCCACAAGTTGAAATTGACTGATTGAACTTTTTTTTTGCACATGGCAGCGGAGGCCTAAAGCGAAAAGGTTTTATAAAACCCAGCTGAAGGCCTAGGACTGGGGCGATGGCACGCATGCCCACAGAGAGGGCTCTGTGTGCCACCTGTGGCACCCGTGCCATAGGTTCGCCACCACTGCTATATATGTTTTATTTAATAATTTATTTTGTAATCTTTTGTCTATTCTTTGCACTGATTTGCAGTCTAAATGTCCTTGCTTCCTTCTTGCCAAAAAACTTTGTCTAGGAGAAGAAAAATAACTTCCTAATACCCTGTTTGGGTAACAGGTTCTGTTCATGAAAAAGAGCATTTCTGCTTATTAAGTACAAAGTTGATGCTACCAAATTTCCAGAATATCACAGAAATGAGATGCTCCATTTGAGACATGAATGCATGTTTGACTGTGTTTTTCTGCGTGTGCATCTTTGGGAAGGGCGATTGTTGGCTACTGAAATTGTCTTGGATAAAGGTTTGGGATCTGCATTCCTGGTCTGGGAATCCTGACTGGATGAATTTGTCAGCTCCTTGAGCTAAATCCAAAAGCACTAGAATGAATACTAGCACTAGAATGAATACTAGCGCCATCCCTACTGAGAGGCCACAATACACTATCCTGCAACTCTGCAAGTATTTCTCCTTCGCTCCCTTTGCTCTCTGGGAAAACTAGGGAGAGTTTCTTCTGTAATGCTTCCAATTCCCTCTCACTCCCCTCCCCCAATCTCCTTATGGGGACTTAAACTATCTTTTAGATAATGGCTGTCTAGTCTAAGGCTCTTCCCCCTCTCCTAAAGTCATTCCCACATACCATTACCCCATCCCTATCCATGTTCTCCAGAAGACTTTTCCACTGTTTGTTTGTAAAGAAGAGAAACAAAGGCATGTAAGACTTTCTAATAAGGTTTACTGTATTTTCAATGAGAATGAATAGTTTGAACAATATCAGCTGAAAAGAGTGAATTAATTCCTGCATTAGAGGAAAGAAAGGGAGAGAAGAATGAATGAATTCTGGCCACTCCCTCAAATGCTGGAGCTTCTTACATCCCTGAGGAGGCTGGGAGGTTGAAGTAGGCTTGAATTTCTTTTTCTCCCATGAATTATTTCTGAGTGGAAACAAACATTTGCCTAAAGAAGAAATAAATCATCCTCTAACTAAGGTCACTCATCTGCCCTCAGCAATTTTGATATTCGATTGTTTTTCTCCTGTGTGACCACTTGGATGGTAGATAATATTCCAGTTCAAAACAGATATTTTTTCCACTTTCCATGCTTTAATAAACATCCTGCCATGTCTAGATCCTTGGATGAAGAATAAGTTGACTCTTGCAAATAAAGCTCAATGCATGGATTCATTTGTTTTTTCCTGTAGATCAGCGCCCGGTCAGCCTGGGACAAGCTGAGGCATTGTGGGCCGGTCCTTCACTGTTTCCAGGGTGGCTCCGGGGGCGAAATGTAACACGGTAGGCCAGATTTGGCCTGTGGGCCTTCCGTTTGACGACTGCTGTACAGGAAGTCCTCGACCTACAACAGTTTGTTTAGTGACCTTTCAAAGTTACAATGGCACTGAAAAAAGTGACTTATGACAATTTTGACACTTAACAACCATTGCAACATCCTAATGATTATGTGATCAACATTCAGATCCTTGGCAAATGGTTTATATCCATGACTGTTGCTGTGTCCCAAGATTATGTCATCCCTTTTGTGATGTTGTGACAAGCAAAGTCAATGGGGAATCGAGATTCACTTAACAACCGGATTGCTAACTTATCAACTGCAGCTATTCACTTAACAACTGACGGAAGAAAGGTCATAAAATGGGGCAAAATTTACTTAACAAATTCTCAATTAACAAGATAAATTTTGGGCTCAATTGTGGTTGTAAATCAAGGACTACCTATAGTCATTAAAGTTTTTTTTACCTCCACAGTCAATACATTTGTGGGCTGGTTCTCCTGTGGATACTTTGGTGGCCAGTATTGCCTCTCTCCTCAGAAAGGCTCTTTCTATCCTCTGTGGATTTATATGCTATTTATGAGAATTGTGCTTTCCAAGTAAAGCTATTTTCACACTCTGTGCATTAATGCAGTCTATGCCCAGTGTGGATCCTTTCATGACAAGGAAGATGAGCTTTCCCAGTGTAGCTTTTTCCAATCTATCTACTTATATGGTCACTTCCCACTGTGAATCCTTTGGTGGCAAGTAAGATGACTGTTGCTAATGAAGCTCTTTCCACAGTCCGTGCATTTATATGTTCTCTCCCCAGTGTGCATCCTCTCATGAAGATTAAGGCGTCCTTTCCGGGTAAAGGTCTTTCCACATTCCATACATTTATAAGGTCGCGCCCCGGTGTGGTTCCTTTGGTGACAAATACGATTACTGTTACTAATGAAACTCTTTCCACACTCCGTGCATTTATAAGGTCTGTCCCCAGTGTGGATCCTTTTGTGACGATTAAGATCTCCTTTCTGGGTAAAGCTCTTTCCACATTCCATGCATTTATATGGTCTCTCCCCTGTGTGGATCCTTTGGTGGCAAATAAGATGACTGTTGTTACTGAAACTCTTTTCACACTGCATGCAGACTTTCCTCTTTCTGCTCAGACTGGAATCCCCTCCAGTTTTTATTGATGTGTATGGTTTGCATTTCCAATACAGTTTCTCTGGTGGAGTAGAAGCGAAGGAGTTATTCTCCATAGTGTCTAGAGGCATGCAGGGTTTTTTTAGTGTGGTTTCTGCCATAGTTATGTAATTCAAATTCATGTTTTCTTTTTTTCTATATTTTCCTTCTCCCATTTCTTTCTGATCTTGCTGGGATAGGAAGCCACAAATACCAAGAGAAGTGGATGACTTTTCCCCTCCATCTTCTGGCTGTTTTCTCTTTAAACTTTTCGTGTCCCTCTGATGGCCAAGGATTACTTTTACTTCGTTCTTGTCTATTTCAAGTAGATTTAACCTTGTCTCCTTGTCGTTCTCATTTACACACACACCATCTGCATGGGAAAAAAAAGAAAATGAACATTCTGATTAGAATTTAGAAGGTCCCCCTCAAAAATATTCCAATCTACATTCCAGGTTTAGTAGAATCCATTTGTCTAGCCAGGATGTGATATCTGCAAATTGTTATCTAGGACAGGGCTTTTCAATCGTTGGTATATGTACCACCTGTGATACATTGGCATGTGATACATGGCCCAGCCCAGGTTATCAGGGGAGTGAACGAGCCAAAGTGGCGCAGTGCAAGACTGGCCCTGAGAGAGTCTTCAGGAGCTGCAGGGCTGTTTGGGGCAAGGCAAAGGCCCCAGGACTGGCACTTCCATTACACTTCTGGAAGAGAAGGGGGGGATGGCGGAGACAGGAATGGATATAAAAGAAGGCAGTTTGGGCGGGAGACGAGAGAAACAAAAAGACACAGCCTTGCGAAGAGGAGGAAGAGTCAGCTGGAGCTGCACCAAAAGGAAAGGGAGGAGGATGGGTGAGAGGACAAAAAACAGGCCGGGCATGCACACAGGTGGCAGCGACAAACAGGTAAGAAACGCATGTAAGGGTTGCGGTATGAGAGTCCACGTTATCTGCACTACGCCGCCCAGCTCCCTCCTCCGCCTGACCAATTTCCGCAGGTAGCAGCGCTCTCTCCTCACTGTGCAGGAGGCGGTGTGCGCATGCGCTTGGGGTCCCAGATGAAAGGGAAGCGCTGAGAACAAGGTCAGCCTGTGTGGCAAAACAGTCACCTGAGATGACAGGTGCCCAGCACATGCGCTCGCCGCCACCTCTGCACGCGCACAGGTAGGTTCAACATGTCGCCAGTTCGCTTCACCCGGCCGCTCTGTGCAGTAAAGCGAGCACACCGCTGCCTGCTGAAACCATGCTGGGGTCTGAGCGGCATAGCACAGGTAACGTGGACTCTCATGCCGCTCACACCGTCCCCTCCCCTGGAGTCCACAGGTGTGTGAAGTAGCAAGGGTCATTTGCTGATCTCCTCCAGGGGATGCCTGTTTTTCTCCCTCCCTCATTACAAATATCTTCCTGCCACTCTGCTCTTAACACTGTGCGGCTCTTGTCCCGCAATTTACAGTGGCCTTTTAAGCCATGGCCATCGGCAGCACAGCCACCAGCCACACTGGCAGCCTCTCCCCTCTTTTCTGGGCACGGAGGGAGGAAGGAAGGGACAATGGGAGGCAGGGAGGGAAGAAAGGAACAAAGAGGGAAGCAAGGGACAAAGGGAAGGGAGGGAGAGAGGGAGGGACAATGAGAGGGAGTGAAGGAAGAAAAGAAGGAAGAGAATGGGAGGGAGGAAAGGAACAATGAGAGGGAGGGAGAAAAGGAAGAGACAATGGGAGGGAGGGAAGGAAAGAAAGGGAGGAGGGAGGGGACAATGACAGGGCCCCCACCCCAGTCCCATCCCCCTACAACAAAGACCCACGGATCACCCCAAAGCCCCACCTGCACCCCCCACAGGCGCTCTGTGACCTGAGTGACATTGAGTTGCCCGCCTCCCCCCCCCCAGCCATTGACTTCGCTTATCAAAAAGTTGCAAAAGGTGATTACATGACCCTGGGTCACTGTGACCGTCATAAGTATGAATCAGTTGCCAAGCATCTGAATGTAAATCACATAACCCTGGGGATGCTGCAACAGTCATAGATGTGAAAAATGGTCATAAATCACTTTTTTCAGTGCTGTTGTGACTTCAAACAGTCACTAAGCGAATAGTAAGTAGAGGACTACCTATATTTATCACTTTTTTCCTTTTTTTTTGGTTCATCAAGTCTGACACCTTGCTAGGCGATTGGTGGTACTTGGATATTGCCTTATCCTAAAAGTAGTACAATAGATGAAAAGGTTGAAAAGCCCTGATCTAGGAGTCTCCTGATTGTATAGAAAGAATGTTTTCAGCCAAAGAACAGGATACAACTGTATTCAGTCACTTTCGTGGAGTATCTAGGACAGCGGTTCTCAACGTTTGTGTGACGGCGACCCCCGTCACACAAACGTTATGCGCATGCGCGCACGCCCCCATGCACAGCGCGCATGCGGGGGGCGCCCCCATGCACGATGTGCATGCGCGGCGGCGCCCCCATGCACGTTGGCGCCCCCGGAGGGGAGAAAATGGCGGATCGCCGCCTTTGGCGACCCCTGAAAAATGGTCGATCGACCCCAAATGGGGTCGCGACCCATAGGTTGAGAACCGCTGATCTAGGACATTTCTCAATTCTACAGTGAATATTTGTACTATGGCCTTATAGAGAACTGAACAGCCTGGCCTTACCCAGAGCAGCCTTATTCCTAGAAAACTCCTGCACGACTTCTCTGCACAAGGCCTTCTGGCCAGAATCTAGCAGCCTCCACTCCTCATCCGTGAAGTCCACAGTCACCCCCTTAAAGGAATCAGAGCTCTAGAGAGAGAAAAAAGCAGACAATCCCAGGAAACAATTGTAAGTGCATACAACAGAAAACACACAGGTGCAAGAGCCAAATGGACATTTTGTTTCAGGATGGATTCATGTCATCCTGTCCACATAGTTTGTGGGGCTGGGAAGCTGCAAATGAACAAATCACGGCTTAGCTGCTTCCAGGATGTAGAATGCAGCACAGCCAATGTTGGGGAGCTTCCCAGTGGCCTGGAGTAAGTCATGAAGTAGATTTTTGGCAGAAAATCCCCTAAATCTACCTGCCTCGCTGACCAAATTCTGAGAAAACAGGACATAACCACTAGGAACTTCTTTCTTAACCTATTTCAAAATATTGGCAATGTCCTTGAAATCCCAAGTCACTTGAACAAGTTTTATTCTTACAGCCTCTTAGTGTTGACTTACTAGCTTATCTTTCATGTGCTATATTTTTCTTGGTATACTTACAGTTACCTTACAAGGGGGATGGGTGGCATAAATATTTAATAAAATAAACACTGTTATTGTTTCAATTCATGGGTTTCATTTCTAACTATTTTAGGCACTCTTAATAGTATTCAGAAATATTAAACTCTTTCTACAATTAAATTACATTTCTAATACAAAGTTCCCTGCCTGTGAATTGTCTCATTTGCATTTCCAGAACAATCTTGAAAGCCAAATGTGAGTGGACACTGTGTTCAAGTGCACATAGACTCAGCTTTTGGTATTAAACACAGCTGCTGAATGATGGAGCTGGAACGCTACTGTTCTCAGAAGAAACCTGCATCTACCTGGTAAGGTGGCCAGAGTTGGATCCTCCAGAAAAACAGCGCCTGAATAGAACGGTATAGATCTCCTCTGCCCCGGAGCTCTGCTGAAATCTCCTCTGTGAACGGCTCCTGCATCAGAAGAACAGCCTGATTTATAATCCATTTTCAGATGACCATATCCATGTTAGTTTGTATTCCTTATCTTTCTCTTCCCTATCTGTACTTCCCCAGCTCAATTCAGAGACACTTCAGGGACTCTGCATGTGATTGTATTTCCCAGTAAATGATGAACGGGAGAGTTAAAACAGCAGGCTGTGTTTCCATGTACATAAACTGTAAGGATGTGTTAATTAGTTTCCTTCTCTTACTATTGTGGTATTCTAGGGCTTATTAAATGTGGCTCTGTATCAGAGGCCATTCACATAATCCAGTTGCTTCCCCTTATCTAGATTCAGGTGACAGCAGATCACAAAGTAAACACTGATTATTATGAGTTATGTGGATAACATCACAAAGGATACAGAGTTTTAAAAGGATAAATTAATTTAGGAAACAGAAGCATTTGCCTCAAGAAGAAATCCATTCTTCAAAGGTGAGGAATTCCAGAAAAGGCTGCAGAGTTATATTTTTAATCTCTCTTATTAGAGACACGGCTAACCCTTCCTCTCCCCCTCCCGCCCCCAGTGGAGCTCCCAGGACGAAGCCCCCCCGCCCTCCTCACCTGCCCCTTTCCCGGCTCTTCCCGCTGGGCTTGGCTGAGGAGGAAGCCTTCGGCCAGGGCCACCGCCTGCGAACAGCTCTCGGCTCCGCACTCCCTCACCCAGCTCGCCATCTCCGCGGGCAGCAGGGCCAGCAGCTGCTCCAGCACCACCAGGTCCAGCATCTCCCCTTTGCTGCTCCTCTCCGGCCGCAGCCACTGGCGGCACAGGCGGTGCAGGCGGCTGCAAAGCTCCCGGGGCCCCTCGGCCTCCTGGCGGCAGCCGTCGAGACCGCGGAAGCGCCGGCGGTGGATCTCTGGGCTGAGGGCGGCCTCCATCCCTGCAGATCTCTGGGCTTCCGTCGGGTCTCCTGCTCGAGGGCAGCCAAAAGAGGTCCGAGACGGTCCGAAATGTCCCCCGGCCCCTCCGCAGCCCCTTCTCCGGTTTGCAGCAGAGCAGAAATGGGTCTCTGCTCACTCGGACCTTCTGCGCCTGAGGCAAATCCTTCCCGCCAATTTTTTGCGAGCTCCAGGGCTCACCTGCTTCAATAAGGAGCCAGAACGAGAGATATGTGCTTCCTAGAGGAACCTAGTAGGAAGAGAATCAAAGGGGACCTTCCTTTTCCGGCCTCCCAGAATGTCTGCTCCGCTGCTCTTCTTCGGAGGCGGGCAGCGAAATCAAAGGGTGGGATGGCGATGCTTGCAAAGGGCAGGGAAGGACCGATGATCGCCCGCTTGCTCCTGCCCAGGTCCTGCGCCCTGCATGGAAATCGGGGAGCCTCCGCTGAAAGGTGGGGCTCTCCTTGGTCTCTGGGTCCAGCGCAGGACGGACGGATCGGGGGCTGAACGTCGGAAGGCGCCTGGTAGATTTCTTCTGTGATTTTTAAAAACGCTTTAGGTAATATATTTCCTCCTTTTCTCCCTTGTTGGCACTTTTGTAATCCAAAGTTCCATCTGTTATGGCATTAAAGTCTTCCATTATACAAAGATTTTGATAGTGTAAACCTAATATTTTTTATATAGTTTTGGGTAAAATTGTTCTTGTTTATCGTTAGGTGCATATACTCCTACCATCAGTATCTGTTTTTGATCCATCATTATTTCCACTATTAATGTTCTCCCTTCTTCATCCGCATAGATTTGTTTGGGGTTCATCGTTTCTTTAATGTATAGAGCTATTTCTCTTTTCTTTTGAAGTGCTAATTCAGAGTGAAGTTTACCAATTTTCGGTTGTTCTAACAACTTACAATGTTGTCTCTTAATGCGTATTTCTTGAAATTATATCCATTTTTAATTTTTGTAATTGTGTAAGGATTTTTCTCCTTTTAATAAATTTATCAAGAATCTGTATAACTAAAGATCAGGAACAAGCTAAAAATTTCTTAATTCCGTATGATAACTAAATAGATTCCTCAGAGTAGCAATTTGCATGCTTTACACAGGAATTATACTTTTCCCCTTTAGCTGTTAAATTTACAATATAAAAATATCTACCATTTATTATTTAACATCGAAAACTGTTTGAAAATCGGATCATTGTTTTCACTTTAGGTCCTCTGATAAAAAGTAGCAAAGTCGTTTCTTACCCAACCCCCAAATCTAAACATTTCTTGTAGGAGGCTTTTCTCTTTCTGATCAAGTATTACATGTAGTTTGTAAATAAGAAAGAAGAGCTACTTACTTCCAATCCCAACTCAACTCTGGGTGTTCCAATGGGCTTTGGGTGAAAAATTGCTGTGAAGAGGGAAGCCACCTGCTAAATTATGCATTTATGCTTCTACTATGAATTTTTGTTTTTGTTATTTCAGAGGTATTGTAATTATTGTTGTTATATATATTTGTATTATTTAACTTTGTAAGCTGCCCAGAGCCTCCTGGTGGTGTGACAGGTGGAAAATAAATTTAATTCATAATAAAGGAGTAATAATAGTTTTAATCCTCTTATTGGAGAGTGACTTGTGAGGATACTTTGTGCATTGTAAAACATACATACAATATTCTAAAGATTTATACATCTATTTGAATTTTTTTTAATCATTGTATGTTAAGAAAACCTTTGGGAAATGAAACCTTTTCTTCAAGCTTCAAAATCTTCCTCAGAAAATCTGAATATGTCATGAAAAATTAACTCTATTTAGTTAACATTTTTGTTCCATAATATGCTTCTTAAGTCACAATCCACAAGGTATTTTTAGACAGTCTTGATTTATATCTGTTCCATACCCTCAAAATGGAACATCTAGAATAATGATTTTAAAAGTCTGAATTAACTTTCACTTTCCCATACCATAAATAGCCTCCACACCTTTTGCCAAGCAGCACTTTTGCTGTCCAGGAGTTGGCTGAAAAAAATCAGTTTCGATTTTGGGATGGACCTTTTTCCGCCAGTCCCCAGGAACCAGCCAGCAGACAGTGGCCTGAATCCTTCCTTGCAGGCTTCCTCATTGACTTCCAGGGAAGCCTGCAGAGAAATTGTAAATATTGATCAGATGATCGTAAGGCATTTGGCAACAAGCGGAAAAATTAAGTAGAGATACCTGTTTACCTTGTTACCTTCTGGGAGGAGGCTTCGTGGTAGCCGTAGCGGGACATGCAGATTCAGCCATAGTTTCATTCCATACAGCATTAACCTTGTGAACTCTCAAGCTTCCTCCTTCCATTATGTATTCAAAATGGACAGTATTTAATATTTGTTATGTAGGGTTGCAGGTCTATACATATGTTGTATATATGTAGGTGTATGTATATATTTATCCTAAAACTCTGCAAATATTTCTTCCCTCCTTTCCTTTTACTCTGAAAAAATTAGGGAGTTTCTTCTGCAATTCTTCCATTGCCCCGTCACCCTCGCAATCTCCTTGTTGGGAACTAAGTTATTTAGATAATGGTTGTCCAGCCTAAGGCTCTTCCCACGTCTTCCAAAGTCATTCTTATTCTCCCGTTACCCCATCCCTATCCATGTTCTACCCTCCGTGAATTTAGATGTTCGAGAACTGTGTTTTGTAAGTAAAGCTCTTTCCATACTCTGTGCATTAATGTGGTTTCTCCCCAGTGTGGATTCTTTCATGACAATTAAGACAAGTAAAGCTCTTTCCACACACTGTGTATTTGTATGGTTTCTTTCGTGTAGACACTGTGGTGATCAATAAGGGTGCTTTTAACAAAAAAGCTCTTTCCACACTCCAGGCATTTGTATGATTTCTCCTGTATGGATATTTCAGTGGCGAATAAGATTATTTGTTACCGAAGCTATTTCCACATTCCAGGCATGTATACAGTTTATCCTCTGTGTGGATCCTTTCATGAGAATTTTTCTTCTTTTCGAATAAAACTCTTTCCAGATTCTGAACATTTATAATGTCTCTCCACAGAGTGGATCTTTTGGTGGAGTTTCTACTCAAAATGGAATCTCCCCCCCGCCAGATTGTATAAAGATATGTAGTTTTTGTTTCCTATACTTACCATGTTTTCCTGAAAATAAGCCCCACCCCTAAAAAAAGACCTACCCTAATTTTGGGGGGTGGGTCTAATATAAGCCCTACTCCAAAAATAAGCTCTAATTAGGACCCGGGCCCCTCCGTCCAACCTGGCTGCTGCAATGGGGCAGGACTTCACGTGACAATCGTGCCACTGCCGCCACAAGGCAAGGCGGTGGGGGGGGGGAAATGGAGCTACCCCATGCGCCCCACACCCACTTCCTTCAGGCATCCCTCAGCCAGGCCTTGCTCCCTTTCACTCCCCTCCCGAGCCGGACTGCCATGTTACCGTACAGTGGATGGGTGGAGTAGGCCTGGGCTCCACTGCCGCTGTGCACCATGGCAGCAGCTTTCTCCATGCATCGCCCCACTGATCACCTGCCCAGCGGCAGGGCCCTGCCCTATGTCCAGACACTTTTTTCTCTTGGGGGACTGCTTCCCCCCTCATCGTCTGTGGACAGGACCGGTCTCAAGGGTCACTCCTCAGCCTTCTCCAGAAATGAAAAATGCTACATTTTCCTTCATACATTCAAAGGCCACCACATTTTCCTTCGTACAACTCCCCTTGGGTGAGGGGGCATCCAAGAAAACCGCAGGGCAATGTATGATCCTGGACTGAGAAAAGATGCCCCTCCTGCCATTGATGGTTTCTATTGACAAGAAGCCGGCTAGTGGGCACCAGTTAGATGTCTCCATTACACCTTCCTTCCTGAAGCTCTTCCCTCCAAATCCGAGATCTAAACCTCTTTAAAGGCAGAGGAGGAACAGCCCTGCAGTTAAACTAGTCCGAAGGGACCTCTGGGGACCACCAAATAGCACTGTGCATTTTTGATCATTCTTCCTCTGGAGTCACCTGGCCAATTCTTACTCTGTTCCTTGTTGCCAGGACCAAGCAGGCTGGAGGTTTCTGTGCTTGTGGAAAAGTTTTATATCTCTCTCTTTCTGAGTGTATCCTTGGGAAGGGCTATTGTTGGATACAGAAGTCACCTTGCATATAGGGTTGAGGTTCACATTCCAGGTCTGGGAATCCTGATTGGAGGAACCATTTGTTAGCCCTTTGAGCTATTCCAAACAAAATGCACATGAATGAATACTAGCTCTACGTCTGCTGTGAGGCCATAATACAAAATCCAGCAGCTCTGAAAGTATTTGTCCCCTCCCCTCTGGAAAACTAGGGAGAGTTTCTTCTGTCATTCTTATAATGGGCCCCACTCTCCCAGTCTTGTTCTGGGGTATCTTCTGGAGCATTTCCACATACCAGTGCCTCTGCGATGAGGCAAAGCTGATAGGGGAAGGCAGATCTGATCCATGTGCCCTGTTAACCAATGGTATACTGGTTCCTTACCACCACTGGGCTTGTTTTGTGGACCAAGCACCTGTGTGGGTGGGTGGGGTGCGTGCCTTTCCCCTGCTAGGCCAGCCTCTGCACTTCCGGGGTGGCCATGATGGGCGGCGGCAGGAAGGGCGCTGAGGTAGGAGCAGACAGGCCAACGCTTCTCCACCTGGAGGGTGAGGCCAGATGCCCTCGCTTCCCCCAGAAATTGCATGTCTTTGCTTACGTTACTTCTGGCCCCGCCCCATTTCTCCTTCACCTTTCTCTACTGCTGCATGCAGGGAAGCAAGAGGCTTTGGGAGAGGAAGGTCAATCAATCCCAACTTTGCGAGATTTTTTTTGTGAGAGAACTTGAAATTGATTGAGCTTTCTTTTGTTTCCCTGTACTGAGAAAGGGCAGCCAGCATGGGCGCTGATAGGCACTTCACCTGGCGCTTTTGTCCTGGGCTACCACCTTCCCGCTCACCTCTGAGGAGGGCCTGGTCAGCCCAGAAAGGCGGCCTCCCCAGGTCCCCGGGCAAAGCCCACCTGCTCAAGCCGGAGGAGCATCAGCCTGGCCACCACCTCGGCATTCTTCCCACCATCGCCCAGCACAGCTGCCTCAGGGTTGCAGAGGCTGGTCTAGCGCGGGAAGGGAACACGCCCGATCTGCCCGGGTACTCGGTCCATCAAGATCTCGTCACATTTCACCTCCACCCCATGCACAGGCCCCACCCTGTCCCTGCGCACTTGCGGGTTGGTGGCACCAGCAAAAAGTAAGCTCTACCCAAAAGTAAGTCCTAGTGTTTATTTCAGAGCGCAAAAGAAAGTAAAATGGGGTCTTACTTTCGGGGAAACACGGTACTGGCCTCAAGAAGAAGCATCAGTAAGGTCACTGATTCAACATCAGCAATTCCCAAATTCTAATGCTTGTCCTTTTTCTTCTAACAACATGGATGGTAAATAACATTCTAGTACAAGCCAGATTGCTGCACATTCCATGAATTAGTATGCTGTCTGCCATGTCTGGATCCTGGGGTGAAAATGAACTTGATTGCTGAGAATAAAGGTCAATCCACGGATTTCATTTATTTTTCCTGTGTGGATCATTTTACGAGAATTAAGCACACACAGTGATGGTGGTTCCACCAATTTTATCCTGTGTGGATGCCATTGTGACAACTAAAGGTGCTACAATGTTAAAGCTATATTTGCACTTGGTCTCAGCACTTTAGAAAAAAAACCCTTGTAGAAGCTGGGCACTTTAGAAAAAAACACCTCAGAGAATTATGTGGCTCATGATGACTAAGTTTTTCTTTTTCAGTAAAGCTCTTTCCACATTCCATGAATTTATGCTCTCTCTCCAGTGTGCGTCCTTTCATGAAGATTAAGATATCCTTTTCGGGTAAAGGTCCTTCCACATTCCATGCATTTATATGATTGCTCCCCAGTGTGAATCTTTTGGTGGCGATTAAGTTTATTGTTGCTAATGAAGCTCTTTCCACATTCCGTGCATTTATACGGTCTCTCCCCAGTATGGATTCTTTCGTGACGATTAAGTTTTTCTTTCTGAATAAAGCTCTTTCCACATTCCATGCATTTATACAGTTTCTCCCCAGTGTGTATCCTTTCATGAAGATTAAGATATCCTTTCCGGGTAAAGGTCTTTCCACATTCCATACATTTATATGGTCGCTCCCCTGTGTGGTTCCTTTGGTGGCAAATAAGATTACTGTTGCTAATGAAACTCTTTCCACATTCCGTGCATTTATACGGTCTGTCCAGAGTATGGATCCATTTGTGACGATTAAGATCTCCATTCTGGGTAAAGGTCTTTCCACATTCCATGCATTTATATGGTCTCTCCCGAGTATGGGTTCTTTGATGAAGATTAAGATGTCCTTCCTGGATAAAGGTCATTCCACATTCCATGCATTTATATGGTCTCTCCCCAGTATGTATCCTTTGATGAAGATTAAGATGTCCTTTCTGGATAAAGGTCTTTCCACATTCCATGCATTTATATGGTCTCTCCCCTATGTGGATCTTTTGGTGGAAATTAAGATGTTCTTTCCATGTAAAGGTTATTCCACATTTCATGCATTTATGTGGTCTCTCTGTGGTATGAATATTTTGGTGGCTATTAAGTTTATTGTTGCTAATGAAACACATTCCACATTCTGTGCATTTATATGGTCTCTCCCCAGTATGGATCCTTTTATGAAGATTAAGATGTCCTTTCTGGATAAAGGTCTTTCCACATTCCATGCATTTATATGATCGCTCCCCAATGTGAATCTTTTGGTGGCGATTAAGATTATTGTTGCTAATGAAACTCTTTCCACATTCTGTGCATTTATATGGTCTCTCCCCAGTATGGATCCGTTGATGAAGATTAACATGTCCTTTCTGGATAAAGGTCTTTCCACACTCCATGCATTTATATGGTCTCTCCCCAGTGTGGATCTTTTGATGACGATTAAAATTACTTTTGCTACAGAAGCACTTTCCACACTGCATGCACAATGTCTTTTTTTTGCTCAGACTGGAATCCCCCCCAAAATTTACAGAGGTATATGATCTGTCTTTCTTATACAGTTTTTTGGGTGAAGTAGGAGTAAAGAAGTTATTTTCCATAGTGTCTAGAGGCTTGCAGTTTTTCTCTAGTCTACTTTCTGCCATATTTATGTGCTTCAAATTCATCTTTTCTCTTTTTCTATATTTTCCTTTTCCCATTTCCCTCTGATCTTGCTGGGATAGGAAGCCACAAATACCAACAGGAAGAGAAGAGGATGACTTCTCCATACCAACTTCTGGCTCGTTTCTCTTTAGCCTTTTGGTGTCACTTTGATATCCTAGGGTTTGTACTTGT